TCTTGGCAAGTTGGCTGGTAGGGCACAAGGCACTTTGCAATCCTTGACACTGGTTGGATGCACAAAAATCAGTGATACTGGATTGATGCGGGTTCTTGAAAGCAATTTGAGTTTGCAAAAGGTGAGTACCTCCTTCCTGATTGCTAACCACCATCATCCACACTCAAAATTGTTTTCACATGCAAATGAATGATTCGTGCTGCTAATAAATTGATGGAGTATTGTTTTGTTTTTCTTTCAGTTGTTCTTTTGTTTATGCACTTAATGTTTGTTAATCATGGTGCTTGAAAAGTCGATTGATCTCTTTAAGGAGTTATGTTTTTATCATTGTGCATTGAACACAATATTGATAATGTAAGCACTAAGCAGTAGTTGGTTGTCTAGTTTGACTTTTTTATTGTATCAAAACCCAATATATTGCTAAGCAATTTAGGTTTTAAGCAAGTAGGAGTTCTTTTACCATAATTTATTTTTATTTTGGAAAATAAGAAGGAATAGGGTTACACTTTCAACTACATAATTGGTTATCTTGTGATGCTCTACGTGTCAAAAAGTCTTATGCATCATTAACTATCATTACAAAAAAATATCGATTACCTTGCGATGCTATGCACGTTGAAATTCCTATCCTAAATTAAAGTGTGCTAATTTAAGATTTGTCAATTCTACTTGTTGCTTGCAGTTATCAGTCCCCAGGTGTTTAAGGCTAACCGTCGATGGCATTGTGGGAATTTTAAGGGCCTTGAAGTCGGCAGGCACTCTAAAATTGAAACACTTGAGATTTGGTTGCTTCGTTGGTGTAACTGACCATCAATTTGAAGAGCTGAGTTCCATTCTTGGTGCAGAGATGCAGACAGAGCAGATGAGCAACAAGAAGAAGCCTCAGTTCTATCACGTGGGACAATTTTATCTCTCATATGATGACGATCGTGCCTTTGACATCGAAAGGTGCCCAAAATGTCAGAAACTGAAGCTGATTTATGATTGCCCTTTAGAGGGTTGTCAAGTGAACGATCAAGCTGCCAGCCAACTATGTAGGGCTTGCACTCAGTGCATTCCTCGATGCATTCACTGTGGGCAGTGTATTCGGGATAGGGATTATGAGGAAACCTTCACGTTGGACCATCTTTGTTTGGTCTGCAGGAAAGAACTCCAGACTTGTGACGAGAAGCATGAAATGAAGAGTGTGTCTTCTTCAGGAAGCATCATCTTTGTGGACAAATGAGGCGAATCCAACTTCCGATTTTTTGATTTAAGAGTGAAGAAAAGGCGTTGCTGGTATTATCCTCCTTCATGGTTGTCAGTTAATTTTACATACTTCAACTATGTTTGAAGATGTGGCGCAAGGATTGCCGATGGATGTCAACCTCACTCTCGTTGCAAAGTTACACAAAATCCTCCTATGGCTTTGGGTTGTGTTGTCTCCTAGGAGCCTTGAGGCAGACTGGCCTTGGTTTGTCCATTGGCTGTTTGCACATGACAAACATCAACTGAGGTTCAAGAGTAGGCTTACAGGGTCAAAAAGAACAAAAAAGTGGAAAAGAACAAAAAAAAGTCAAAACTAGCTAAAAAGGAGGAAAATAAAGAAAGGAAAGAAGCACAGCAGAAAGTGAAGGAAATATGATAGGGAAGGGGGAGACACTGATGTTGTTGCATTTGAGATGAGCATTAACCGAGGTTACCCTTGTACAGAATGGCTGTCTGGCTGGATGTTGTGATGTAAAGGACAGAGAATAAGGATGGACTTTAGCAAATTAGATTTCGATTGATTGGGGCAGGAGTTTGTTAGTAACAAGTTTTTTGCTGCTGGCTTATTGATGTCAATCCTCCAGTAGAAGGATTAAGAAGTTGAGGTGGGTGAAGTGAACAAAGATAAGGGTCTTCACTACATAGAAGAAGCTTCGAAGGTTTGCAGGCGAGAAATATCGGCTTATTTTTGCTTGCAAGGTGATTGGTTTGTGTGTGTGTGTGTGTGTGTCAATATGTCAGGTTGGTGTTGGGAAGATGATGTTTGTGGGATACTTGCTGCAGAATTAATCAGATGTTCATTCTGTTAATATTGTAATCTTTCTCTGTTGTTTTTGTTTTTTGGGATGGGACTGGGCTGGCAATGTAAGATAGTGCCCAAGTCTTCCATTATCAAATAAATAAGTGACATCACAACTAATTTTTGTAGAGATTTTATGTTTGTTGGTGATTTCTATATATATATATATATACACCTCATGAGATTTTATGTTTGTTGGTGATTTCTATATATATATATATATATACACACATATGATGTGGGAAAATTGTTGATAACTAATACAAGAAATGTTGCATTGTCCACCTTTTCCTAGGAATGACAATGTTAAGCGAATAATTTGATTTAATTGTCATGATTTATTTAAGTATTTTATTAGATTTAAATTGACTAACATACATGCTTAGAGGTCATTTGCATGAATTATTTGGTACTAGATTACTCTTTTGTGAACAAAAAACAAAACAAGTCGTTTGCAAATGACTTGTTTTTAATATCACTACTTTCCATCTCAATCTCCCCTTTTTTCATATACGCAATACTAATCCTTCTCTATTTTGTCTTCATAAAACCAGTACTTTACAACTATTCTCCATTATACTTTTCAATTATCTCTAGAAAAATAGTTATTATTTTTAAAGGTTTCAAATATATGTTTTGTTTGGTTGTAAAATGATAGAGTTTGGAACCCTTATAATTTGTAAATAAAGTTATCATAACAACATTGTTCACAAATAAAAAAATATTATTATTATATCTGACTAATACCCAAATAATAAGTTACATATTGGTTGCAAAATGGAATTTGCTTTTGTGGTTGGCTTTATTAGGATAACAAACAAGAAAATGAATAAGAGAAAAATAATAACAATATACAAATGACTCATCTAAAAATTTATCAATAAACAACACATTTGGACTAATGGAGGTGAGTGGGACTGGAAATGCCTCAGCACATACCTCCCTAATGATATCCTCTGCATATTGCAGGAAAATATAGTTCAGAACTAGGAATGAGAGAGGATAAAACCCTATGGGGTGTTGAGAAGGATCATCGATTTTTTCTAAGATTAGCATTCAACCTTGCTTCGGGGAATATGGAAGCGGAACTAGAGAAGATTTGGAAGAACTTTTGGCACTGGATAGGTCTAAGTTTTGTCACGTATTTTCTATAGCTTGCAACCCACAATAGACTTCTCACCAACAAGGAAAGAGAGGCGCGAGCTCACAAATAATGGCAGCTGCACTCATTGTACTGTAGCAGAAGAGACAATTGAGCATATCTTTCGCAACTTCACAAAGACATTGATAATTTGGAACCATTTTAAATATAAGATGAAGGAAAAGAACAAAAATCTTGAGTTCCATACTTGGCTCACCAAAATCTCTAGGCTAAGGAGACATAAATATAATTTGGCATTGTCTACTTGATGCTATGGAAACAGAGAAATGAGGAAATTATGAAGACACGAAATTCTAGGACGAAGGGACTATTCATATGATAAATGTCTGGTTTCAAATCAACAAAAAAGCACAGAATAGCGTACAATGAAGCATTCTACTACCTCAAAACAACAAAATAAGTTAGTAGATCGGTTAGACTCCTCTAAGAGATGGGTGGTTGCGAATCTGGACGGATGGCTCGGTTGACACTTCGACTAGGAAAGCAACAATAATGGACTTTTGTGTGATTAGTTGGGTAGACGTGAGAGAGCATTCAACAACAACTCGAGATTGTGCTCGATCACAAGAGCTTAACTTAAGGGGGCAGTTTGTAGGTCTTGAGTTTGTTTGGCGTAAAGGCTTCGAGAAGGCCGAGTTAAACCTTGATTCCTAGACATCAAAAGGATACAAATCACATATATGGTTTGCTAGTCAAGCATATAGGTAGTCCTTTGGAAAGAGATTCAAACGTTAGAATTCCCCATAAATATAGAGAAAGTAATTTTGCAGTCAACTTCTTGGATAATAGGGATTATTTTGTTCCTTTTGGCACACATTCATTAGATGCTGCGAGACCATGGGACAAATCATGGATTCAGTTATTTACTAATACAAATTAGACGTCGATGATTCTGATAATATACGTAGAGAATGAGTGTGCGTGATAAAAGTTTGTTTTTTATATAGGAATGAATTTAAAGATTTAGGATAACCAATTTTTTTCCTTGGTTGTTGCCCCCAAGGATCGAACTGGGATTACCAATTACGACAGAAAATAACATTAATTTTTGTAGAGATATTCTGTTTAATGATTTATGTATATGGCTTATTAAACTAGTAAAAGACAAAAGAAATCCTTAATAAACCGATCTTACTCGCAAGTTGAAAGGCAAATTATCGATTAACTGCAAACAATTTCTAGGAAAAATTGAATGTTGGTGAAAAATGATTGTGAATTTATATCTATACCTTCTTTTTGTATAATACTATATTTGTACTGCTACAAAATCGGGATATTATTACGTACTAATTAGTAAATTCAAATAGATATAACATGTTCTATTTTATATTTACGGGAGAAGAGTCGTTCATATCAATTGAATAAATAAAGTGTAAACACTAATTATTAGTCAAACCTATTGAATTACTAATAATTAGCAAAATGTTAACTTTCAATTAGCAATTTTGTTAGTAATGTTGATTTGACAATATAATATTGACTTAAAAGACACATGACTGTCAACATTCCAAAACTTTAGTATTTTAACTAAAAAAAGAGTTAAAAAACTATTAACAACAACGTGAAAATAACTAATAGTTTGAGGTATTACAAAATATATGGCTAATTATTAGCAATCCAATAATGTTTGCTAATAAAAAAGAATGCAAGAAATTTTTGATAAATAATTAGTATTTACTATTTACCCTAAAAAATTGTCTCTTATTTTAGTATTAGTCCGAAACGTCTCACATAAGTTCGAAACGTTTAGAAGGTAGGAACATAGGGAAGAATGCGGCTTTGGGGACGAAATATCCGTTTTTGCTGATCCGCGCCTCTCTCAAGGCCGCGCGCCCTATTTATCCGACTTCCCCCGCCCCTCTCTCTAGATTCTTCTGGCCGACGGCGAAGTTCTCTACTGGAAGAAACCCAAGTCCTAAGCGCGAGGGAGCAGCTTTCGCCGGAAGAATGGAGAACGGCGAAGTACCTGAAGACGCTAACGAGAGTAAGCGACAGCCCCTTTTCCTCAATTCCATCCTTATGTTCTTCTTCTTTTCTTTCTGTTTCCAGGCATGAATTGCTCTAAACCTTGTGTATCTGGATTCCCGTCTACAGATTGTCCCGGTCCTCAGTCTGAATCCGCGGGAAAGTCCGATTCCTGTCAAGGATGCCCTAACCAGGAAGCTTGTGCTACTGCCCCTAAAGGCCCCGACCCAGGTTCCCCTCTTTTTTTTAATCTTACTTCTTTATTTGCTGTTAGATGTTGATAGGAGTAGTTGGCATCAGAGCCAGTAGGTCTACTTTTGAGTTTGGTAATGGTTTCTGCTGGATGGTTATCTTACTTGAGAGTTAGTTGCATTTAACTTGGATTGCAGCTGACTGCCTGGCTCTGAGTCCATTTCGAGTAGTTGATTCTGGTGTCAAAAACTGGTGGAACTTCACTACCAAAAAAATGATGGAACTTGGTTTGCTAGGGAGTACCATGTTGGAGAAAGGAGCTTCTAGGAACTTAAGCTGCTGTTAATGAAGGTTCAATAGACTTGATTATGCTAAGTGATTCTGGGTAACAAGTTTGAATGATAATGGATTTGTGAACTTCGTGTCCAGAAGCGCTAGGGTTGACTAATGTTTGTCCATACCGAAATGTTATCTTATATCCATCTAGATGGAACATGTTGTTTACTCTCTGGCATGTCTAACCATTGATCTTGGAGCCACTTGGCATTAAGTATATCTAGATCATACAAGAAAGGGGGTTCTCATTTGTTCCTGTTTGTCCTTCACGAGAAAGAAAAGCTTATGGCTCTTTGAACTTTGAGCCATTTGGTATTGGGTTTGTCCGTTATTTACGCCCTGGCATCTCTAACAGATGATCTTGAAGCGGGCTGGTATTATATGTTAACCAGATCGTGGTAAATTGGTCCAATATTTGGGTTTCTCTTCTCTTTCTGTTTGTTCTTCACGGGCGAGAGGGAGAGAGAAACGAGTATTGCTTATTTCCGATACCAAACTTTGAGTTCAATGATTGCCCCTCTGGAGTCTGGAAAGCCAAGTGCTTTTAACTGAATCCTTGTTTTCTGGATTTCCACAGACTTGGTTGCAATAGCAGAGAGAATGGCAACTGTGAAGCACAAGATCCTGATTTTGTCAGGGAAAGGGGGCGTAGGGAAGAGCACATTCTCAGCCCAATTATCCTTCGCCCTAGCCTCCCTAGACTTCCAAGTCGGTCTCCTAGACATTGATATCTGCGGCCCAAGCATTCCCAAGATGCTCGGCCTTGAGGGTCAAGACATCCACCAGAGCAACCTTGGGTGGTCCCCAATCTATGTTGAATCAAACCTAGGAGTTATGTCAGTTGGTTTCATGCTTCCAAACCCAGATGAAGCCGTCATATGGCGAGGGCCCCGCAAGAACGGCCTCATCAAGCAGTTTCTAAAAGACGTCCATTGGGGCGAGCTCGATTTTCTTGTGGTTGACGCTCCACCAGGGACCTCAGACGAGCACATCTCGATCGTCCAATTCCTCCAGGCGACAGGAATCGACGGTGCTATCATAGTCACCACGCCACAACAGGTAAGGGTGGCTAACTAGGTAGCCATTTTGGTTGACTATTAGATTGACTGTTAAGTTATGGTTATGATTTTGAAGCAACAACTCCCTAATGGTTTTGATTATTGAATTTTCCTCAACAACAGGTGTCCCTGATCGACGTACGAAAGGAAGTGAGCTTCTGCAAGAAGGTTGGGGTGGAGGTTCTCGGGGTTGTTGAGAACATGAGTGGGTTGAGTCAACCGTTGACAGATTTCAAGTTCATGAAGGCAGGGGAACATGGGGAGCAAGTCGATGTAACAAAAGCTGTTCTGGATTGCATGAGAGAGAAAGCTCCCGAGTTGCTGGAGCTGGTTGCGTTTACTGAGGTGTTTGATAGTAGTGCAGGTGGTGCAGCAGAGATGTGTCGGGAAATGGGGGTCCCTTTTCTTGGGAAAGTACCACTTGATCCGCAGCTGTGCAAGGCTGCTGAAGAGGGACGATCGTGTTTTGAAGGCCAGAGTTGCAGGGTTAGTGCTCCAGTGTTGAGGGGTATGATCGAGAAGCTGCTGAAGGTGAAGGAATGGAATCAAGACGAGTTGCAGCATGCAGAGAATGGACGAGTGTAATAAGAACATATGATCTTTCTGTTTGCTTTTCATTAGATTCTCAAGTTTTTTCTTTGTTGTTCAAAGGTGAATGCTTTGAGGATTTTGTTTTTGGCATACGAATGAGTTGAAGGTATACACATGCCAACCAAATAACGCCATTTTTGGCTGTGAACATATTGCTCGATGGCATATTGTGTTATCCTATAGAAATTTGTAGCCTTTGATTTCCATTGGAGTTGAAGTCAGGTTCTACAGGCCGACTTAGTGAAGGAAATTGTTTTCAGAAATATATTCACTGAGCTGGGTTGCAACCTGGGCAGAGATCACAGAAAACTGCAGTTCCATTCTCAGTTGACAGAAACCGTAAGGGTGAAGAAACTCAACTATCCATTATGTACGAGTAATCCAGTTTCAATACAGATGGAAGTAACATTTGTATCAACATACACCAAAAGGCACACGAATTAGCATCACGATGAGTCCAAAATCGGTTTTTGCAACCAGTCAACGAAGCATCAGTTGTCCAAAAAAACCCATCAGAGGGTCACAGCAATAATTCACTCCAGAACGCTGAATCTCTAGGACTCGTGCATGCTGCATTTGAGTCTCCACATATTAGCTACTTTGGGCCATAATTCCTAGAGAACCTGCAACAAAAATCCATAAATGAGAAGGTATTAGACCACATTGGCCAGGTTGAAGTTGTTACGGGCAAGAGACTGATAAAGAACATACTTAAAAAAATCTCCGTATAGCCACTTCTTCTTCTTCCTTTCCAAACCCGTCCTGCTTTGGAAGGATGGCTGACTTCTTTTCCAGTCGTTCCTCAAGGGGGATCAAACGTTTCTCTGAATGGCATTACCATGTGTTGATGAAACAGGCTGTTCTCTTATCCGAGACAAAAGCATTGAAACTCCTTCCGTAGCAATCTCCAACCTCTCCTTTGACTTGCCCGATTCACTTATCAAGGACGATACCATATTCCGTAACAACTGCACGTTCTCTGAATGATTCCGCTGCGGATCTCGAACCAGTTTACTGGGAGGTGTGCCTGTAACACGACGCCAGCGTACGGGGAGATACCTTTCAGGTATTTGGAAACAATTCCCAGTGGAGAGAACACGAAGGGTATGCCTGCAGAGTATTCCAGATAACTCGAACTGATGACAGCTGCAACTAATGATGCCTTCCCTGGGCATCCAATACACCTTCCTGCCTCCTTCGAGCTTTGTGTGGTGTCTCACGAGAAACCCATCTTCCATTTGGAATGACGCATAGTGGGCAGCTAATACGAGTTGTTCTTGGAGCTTGGAGAAAGCGTATGGAGTGAGGACTGATGCGGCATGGGATTCCATGGGTGCACCCGTCTTTAAGTTTATGTTTTGAAGATTCTGCTGCATTATTTGTTGTTCAGCAGCTTGGTCTTTGAAGTCAACTGCAACAGAAGCCTGGTTCCATTTTCAGCAGTAAGTTAAAAACCTAATGAATTCGGACTTATGCCTCGTAATTTGGATGAGGGAAGAACTGGAGAGAAGCCATTAGACATACCTGTTCTACGAAATGAGGTAGACGGGTTTGTGCAATTAGAAACCGCTGGATAAATGCATTTATAGATTTTGAATGTCCAATCGCCATCATTCCTGCAAAGAAATGGCTTCTCAAGTATGGTAGCGCCCATAGAGACCGCAAGGCATACAAGTTTGCAATGTGGCGATTAGCGTGCAGCCCGAATGAAGTCACCATGTCCCTCCAACCAAGCTCAAAGTCTTCAATTGATTCTAGATTATATAATCGATGAAATTCTGCTTTCCAATCATTATAACGATCTCCTAAAACAGCATTAAACCAAGAAGGAAATTTCGCCACAATCATCCATATACACAGAGCATGTTTTGTACTAGGCATCTCAGCAGCCATGGCTTCTTTGAGGCACATATTCTGGTCAGTTAACATTGTCTGTGGTGCTTTCCCATTCATAAACCCCAAGAATGCCTACCATATTCATAGCAAGAAACAAAAAACAAAAACACATAAGAACTTTTGGAGGTGGGTTACTTGAAAGTTGAATGCATACCAGTACAGATAATTGCTACTATATTACCTTCAATGCCCAAGACAACGACCTCAAATTTTCTTCTCGCAGAATCACACAGCCGAAGAAGCAAGGCGTACCATAATTGTTCACTCCAATCCATATCCCGAGAGGCATGTCGATTGCAGTCAAACGATGAGTTGTATCAAATACCACAGCATCACCGAACACATCATATGATTCAATAGAAGAAGCATATGACCAAGCAATATTCTCAAGCCTGTTGTTGGAATCAAGTAAGTATTCAAACTTGAAGTCGGGTTCCTTGTCCTTTATGTTTCTGCATATTCTCAACAAGTCTATACTCTCATCCTCTGAATCTATCTTACGAAACGACTGAAGCAAATTCCTCACATCCTTCTCAGTGAAAGGCAGATACCCTGGCTCAACACATTTCTCAAGTTCCAACAGCCTCATCATTTGTTGAACTGAAATCCTAGTTTTGGCAAACATGAGAATCCTGCTCTTATCTGCCTCCGATATGCTTCGATAAGCAGGAAGAAAACGGACTTGATTCGGCTCAAGAAGCTCGTGATTGTGGTGGTTTGCAAACCCTGTCACGCGCCACTCGAATGCACCCAACTCCGAGGACTTGCTAATCCTGATATACGCCTGACATCCACAACGAGATGATTTCCTATTCCTTTGCTGCTTACCCTCATTCGCAGCTTTGACAGGAGTGTTTCCAGCTCGATGGCACACGAAATACCGCCTAGTGAGCCCCTTGCCAATGCCGTCTTTCCCCTCCGTGCGGTGCCTTCGAATTGAAAATCCACATCGCTTAGCAAACTCACTGTAGAATTGATAAGCTGCATCATGTGTAGCAAATCTCTGCCCGATATAAGGAACAGTGTCAGTATTGGTTTCCAAGGAGAGTCTTGTGTCATCGTGTGATTCCTCTGTGCTACTGCCATCGTCCAAAGACAATGATTGTTGGTTTGAGGGATCATCATAGACCATCAACATTTCTCCAGCCTCTTCAGATATCATCCCTTTTTATTTTCAGACAATGACAGTCAACTATCGACACCCCGAAACTCAATATCCTAAATGATACACAGCCAGGCTCTCTATCAGTTCATAAACGAAACCAGGCAAATTAATCATAAGCAACTTGTGGAACCATTCGAGAAGAAGAAGAAGAAGACGGCCCAGCCGCCGCGGCCCAATACGCTGCCTCCTATCCTATTCGATTTCCCGCCGGATATGGATTTGTACGCCCCAGGGGAGAATTGGGTCCAGTGACCTTCACCGGAAAGGAACTGCCTTTCTTCCTCGGAGGCAATGCCGGGAAGAGACGGCCGCGAGATGTAAGTGTTATGGTTGATTAGTAACGATGCTAGAAGAGTTGCTGTGGAGGCGCGAAGTGGAAAAGCAGATGATGGTACCGAAATTGGGGAAGAAAGGACAGAGATGGAGGGAAAAGGAAGTCGAAGAATGGCAGCAAATGCTGAAATTAGGGATTGGATTGGAAGTCTGGTTCGGAAGGCGACTGATTGGAATCTTTTCCGGAGTCAGTTTACTGTTGGTTTCTGTCAGGGAGTACTTTGGGCCAAGAGTTTGGCGGCAATTTGAAAACCTGGGCTTCATATTGTAATGAACATATGGGCTTTGATAGGCTATGCAAATCAAAATGGGCCAAGGTCCTCCCCGATCCAAAAGAACGAAATAAGCTATTTTTGCCTCATTTTACCAGTTCCATAATATACGCTCCATTTTCTCAGCCTCCCGCCATGAGACCTGGTAAAGAAGGATCGGAAATGGCGGGTGAACTCGCCGCCTCCTTAGCTCCCGGCTGCATTGTCGATTCGTTTCGCCAGTTTGGGAAATCTCCATTACTATAAATCTGCTCTTCCATTTTCTTCCAAACTCCTTTCCTCCCAATATCTTTATCTGCTTCCGGCGTCTGCTTTCCCCTCTCCATCGGCGAATTCTGATTCCCAGCTCCATCAATGGCGAAGGTCAAGATCGGAATCAACGGTATGTACTCTCTATTATCCTTCGTATTCATTGATCTATAATGAAATCGAGAAATGGCGTTATGGGTAATTCTTTGTTCTGAAAATGTTAGGTTTCGGAAGGATTGGGCGCTTGGTCGCCAGAGTCGCGTTGCAGAGAGACGATGTCGAGCTCGTCGCTGTCAACGATCCTTTCATCACCACCGACTACATGGTACGTTTTCAACGTTCGATGCAAATGGAGGCGAATGGGGAATCGATGGTAAACAACGAAAGGGTCTGATTTATACTGTGTGCTTGGTTTTTGTTCAGACGTATATGTTCAAGTATGACAGTGTTCACGGGCAATGGAAGAACCATGAGATCAAAGTGAAGGATTCAAAAACCCTTCTCTTCGGCGACAAGCCCGTCACTGTTTTCGGCTGCAGGTTTCTGCTCGTGCTATAGCTTTTCCTTTTCCTTTTCCCCATTGCAGAGTTGAGATCATGAGATGCATTGATAAGGGAAGCTTTGATTCAGGAATCCCGAGGAAATCCCATGGGGTGAGACCGGAGCTGAGTACATTGTGGAATCCACCGGAGTTTTCACTGACAAGGATAAAGCTGCTGCTCATTTGAAGGTTCCCTTTCCATGTCTTCGTGTTTCTTGTCCTGAATTTGTTTCCATCGATTGGAATGTGAGTCTGATGAGAAGGTTGAATTGCGTGGTTTCTATGACCAGGGTGGTGCTAAGAAAGTTGTGATCTCTGCACCAAGCAAAGATGCACCCATGTTCGTTGTCGGCGTGAATGAGAAGGAATACAAGTCTGATCTTGATGTCGTCTCCAATGCTAGTTGCACTACCAACTGCCTTGCTCCCTTGGCTAAGGTACTACACTATGATGAACCAATTTGTGGTTTGTTTGTATTGCTTATCACCTTTTTGGTATCCTGAAATTGTGTAATGTGCATCTGGGTTTTGCAGGTCATCAATGACAAATTCGGCATCGTTGAGGGCCTTATGACCACTGTCCACTCTATTACAGCCACGCAGAAGACTGTTGATGGCCCGTCGATGAAGGACTGGAGAGGTGGAAGGGCTGCCTCCTTCAATATCATTCCAAGCAGCACTGGAGCTGCTAAGGTACTATCTGTGGGCAATAATGCAGATTGGTTATTCCAATTTAGCGTCAACCTTCTAAGATTATGATGGATTCTTGTCCTGGTTATCTTTCTTGATTCTTTAGGCTGTTGGCAAAGTGTTGCCTGCCTTGAACGGGAAGTTGACTGGAATGGCGTTCAGGGTTCCCACGGTTGATGTCTCGGTAGTGGACCTCACTGTCCGGCTCGAGAAGAAGGCCACTTATGATGACATCAAGAATGCCATGAAGTATGTTTTTCATATACCAGCATGACCTGATGGCTCCTGCACGAGGTCTTGAAATCAAATGTGCCATTGTTCTTGCAGGGAAGCATCTGAGGGTTGCATGAAGGGGATCCTTGGTTATACTGAAGATGACGTTGTGTCATCTGACTTCGTGGGCTGCAACAGGTGAGTCGAGGAGGAGGAACTGTCTCTCTTATTCGATGCCATTAGCATCTGCTATACAAATTTTGTGGCTGATCAACTTGCCATACACCCATTGTTGCAGGTCTAGCATCTTCGATGCCAAGGCTGGAATTGCTCTGAACGACAACTTCGTGAAGCTCGTCTCTTGGTACGACAACGAGTGGGGTTACAGGTAATGTGGCTCATGCACCAAGTTGGCAACTTTCTTTATAGAGCCTTCATTTCTAGGCATTGTGCATGGTCCCTATTTATCTCTGGGATCACTTGATACTAAATCTCGCAATGTTCCTTTTCGATGATGTTTTTTTGCAGCACAAGGGTTGTTGACTTGATCTGCCACATGGCTTCCTGCAAGTAAAAGGAACACTGCACCCAATATTGGGTCGAGTTTAGGGAATTAGAAGAGAAGTACTAAATAATCCCAGGCACGAGAGAACAATCTTTGCAGTTGTGGAAGTGGTGGAAGAAGCTACCCCTTTCCCAACTCCGTATTTTTATATCCTTGGGAAGTTTTGAGGCTCTCCCAAATGTGGAGTTTTGAATTTTTTTCTGGTTTATTTATGTAATGATATGATTTGTTAATTTCAAATTAATGATCATATGTGCTCATTTTTAGTTATGGATGATTGAACCATCACTATGAAATAACTCCTCTTTTGTTTTGGAAACTCAACTAAACCTGAATCAAATTAACGATCTAACAAAAGTGATATTTCAACCAGTAATAGAAATAATATGATTAAAATTTCGTTTAAACCTGAATCAAATTAACGATCTAACAAAAGTGATATTTCAACCAGTAATAGAAATAATATAATTAAAATTTCTTTTATTGACCATGGAAAATTCGATCAACCGATATACCAAATAATGTTAAAATCCCTTCTTATCACTTTGTTCATTCATATTTCTTGAGAGTTAACTTCTATCTCATGAATTCAACTCTCACTCTCTGTCAATATACATTCCCTGTTCATCTATCTAAAGACTTCTCGACCAAACGTCAAAGTGAGTTTTTCCCAAACGACATTCAAGTAATGCTTGAAAGAAAAACTATCCAGAACCAGACGTTACTATCCTGATGGTAATTGGTAGAATGCATGTAGTTGAAAATAAAGGTAAAATGCGTGACACCTACTCCTCATCTTTTGCCACGAGCCATGTCCATGAACACATCACATCCGAACAATCAAGATCCCCAGCCCTTCTGACAAGGCCACAAGAAAGGCTATCGATTTGGTGAAATCAAAACAGGGAACAAGATCAGACCAAGTTGTGCAAGAAAGCAGATGACTTTCACCACCTTCTTAATTTATGCTTAACCAAGGGAACAATGTTAATCACATTTAAAGTTTGTAATTAAAACCGCATACTGAGTCATTTACTAGCAGAAACATGAACAAAATAGGCAGATTCTTCCGAGTTCAACATTACACCAACTTCCTAACTTTCAAAGATCCTTCATATTCCTAAAAGTGTTCAATTATGATAAGATCCCCAGAAACGCAAAGGCAAGAAAGTATTACTCCAACCAAAGCCATTCACAACTTCCTTCATGCCTCTCTCACTAACCCCGCCTGATCCTACAAGAACAACAAACAGGAGTCAGAACAAGGACAGTGGAACTTCATCAAGCCACAACCAAAAGAGTCTATGCAAATGGAGTAACTGCCGTTCATAATCAACTGTTTCATGAAGAGCATAGGTAAACTTCTGCATTGTTGTATCACAGTGTATACAATTAAGAACCGCTTTGCAAACCATAAGCATTAATATTCAGAAAGGATTCAAGAGGACCTCAATGACAAGGCATGATCATGAATTTTGATTCAAAGACCAACTAAACTTGTCAGCCAAAGCAACAAAGGCAAAGCCTAAGACCAATGTCTAGTGTTCTTAAGAGCAGGGCAGAGTGAGCAACAAACCGAACTTACAGAAACATAAGCTACCAACTCAGTGAAGCCACACAATCAACTATATCCAAATCAGCTATACTTCCTGTCTTCCCCAAACAAGAAATCATGTACATCCACACTATTTCAACCAACCGAGTGAAATGAAATGCAAGACAATCCAAGCAGAAACACATTACCTCTTTCAGCGGCCAGCACCCAATCCAAGCAGCATATTGCCCCCAGAAGGAAGGTAAGAAACATTGGGCGACCTAGCAAGAGTTGCAGCAATCTCCCTAGCAGCCTCAATCCTCCTGAGTTCAATAAGCCCCATGCCAGCCTTAGTAGTTGCATCAGAGATAAGCTTGGCAGCCTCACTTTCACCTTCCGCCCTGATGACAGCAGCCCTCCTCTCTTGGTCAGCCTTCATCACCACAAACTTGGACCTCTCGGCCTCCTGCTGAGCCACCTGCTTCTGCTCAACAGCCCTCGAGAACTCCACACCATAAGACAGGTGGGTAATAGCCACATCTTCGAGCATAATGTTGAAGTCTCTAGCACGGTTAATAAGAGCTTCCCGAACAAGCATGGAAACTTGAGGACGTTCGGTGAGCAGCTGATCAGCATTGAATTGAGCAACCACTGCCTTCAGCACCTCATTACCAATCGAAGGGAGCACCTTCTCATCATACTCCACTCCAAGATGTTGAAAGATGTAGGGCAGACGCGTCATCTTAAACAAAATAAAACAAAACCCATTCTCTAAGCACAAACAACAGAACCCCAAAGCTAATCAATAAAAAAACTGACCCAAGATCGAGAAATCTAACAGCCAGATGTTCAATTGATTCACCAAACAACATTTCCATAACAAGTTGAATTAGAGCAGAATTGAAACAATTTAGCTGGGAATTTTATTCTATATCCTCTGTTTCTTACCTCCGGGCGAGAGAGGACACGGAGGGTGAGATTCACCATCTGCAAATCCTTCGTACCAGAGACGGAAGTGAAGGTGTGAGGCTTGACTCGGATGTCGAAGTAGTGAGGAGTCTGGATCCACGGGATCCGAATGTGAGTGCCTTCGCCGACGACGGTGGGGACAACTCCGGTGAAACGATCGAAGATAACCACACGCTGGCCTCCCTCGACGGTGTAGAGCGCGGAGTTGACAACAGCCGCGGCGGTTCCGAGACCGAAGGCGGTCTTCGCCATGGCAGTCAAAAACGAAACCAATTGTTGGCTACTCCCCATTGTAGATCTTCCGAGAGAGAGAGAGCTAACCGCTACGCCGGAGAAGAAGAGAGAATCGGATGACGATCTTCACTGGAAGGGTTTTGGGAAGAAGATGGTGTGAGGCCTAGGGTTTTACGAATTAGATCACGGCGTCAATACTCAATATTTGTTTTCTATTATCGGTTTAAAATAAAAATATTTAGTCGTATATTTTTTCTTGTGAAGTAAGTCAGGCATTTTGGGCTTGACGGGTTCCGTTGTGGCATTGGGCCCATATGTGTAAACCGTGCTTATGTATTTTAGGCCCATATTTGTAACCACCCTGCCCATTTTAGATTGGGCTCGTCGCGGGAAAGGAAATTAGAGCAAACAGTAAGGACTAAGGAGGGAATTTGATTAGTTTCTGTTCTCAGTTGCAGTCTTGCAGAGAAGCAGAGCTACTTCTCCGCCTCCATCTCCTTTCTCCGCCGCCGGGAAAGCTACACTAAGTTCCGCTGCCGTTAATTCATCGGGAAGGTACTTTCTGAAGTTCTCTTATTGTGGTCTTTTGTTAATTATTCATTTGTGCTCTTAAGCTCTGAAATCTCGCCCCCTCCGTCCAACGAGAAGTAGGATTAGGGTTGGAAAAATTTCAGTGGATTGATTGATAGAATTTTCTCCATTTCTGGAGAACCTGATCTGTGAAATGCTGTAATTAATTTTACGAAGGTGCACCTTATGAGAGATAAGCATCGAAATTCTTAGACTGGGTTGATGTCTTATGAGATTTTCTATCTGTCCATACTCCATACTCTGAAAATGCTGGGGGTTGAACTTGGTTTTCTGAAGTCTCGAGTCATCCTCCTTAAAGTTGTGATCTTTTGATTTTCAGAGTTATGGCAATGAACCATATAAGGTCCTTGAGGAGTGTGGTGATTAGTAAAGAAGTAGTCGGAGTGAGAACATTTGCTGCGGCAGGTGGTAAGGCAAAGAAGGGATCAAAGGGTGGGGCTTCTGCAGATGCACCAAAAGCTTCGAGTCTTAGTAAAGAAGTGAAGTCTTCGACGACTGTTGGTGCCAATATTCTTAAGGATGGTACAGATCCTAAAGTGATGGTTGATGCAGATTACCCCGATTGGCTATGGCATCTTCTCGATAAGCGTCCAGCGTTGAGTGAGCTGAGAAGGAAAGAGAAAGAATCTCTGCCGTATGAAGATCTGAAGCGCTATTTCAAGCTGGAGACACGGGCTGGCATCAAGGAAAACAACTCTATTAAGGCCAAGAATTAATGTTACGGGATCTGTGAAGCAGGTGTTCGTGCTTTCATCATAAAGGTCCGTTTCTTCTGCAGGATTAGTATCAGGTTTGAGTCTTTTGTATGGTCTATGGATATGAAAGATAGAACTTGGGAGCTTTTTCAATCTGATGCTATCAGTCAATGTCCCTTATTAGTATATTTTTCTCTTAGCTGTTGATTATGTAAGGACCCATACCTTGGCTGAAACTGGTCCATTAGTTGACTGGACAATGCTGAAATCCCGGGGTAGAAACTGTTTCTTTCACTCAACAATTTCTCCTAGGTGAAAAGTAAGAGAGTTGCAATGATCATAAATGTATATTGAGTATCGTCCATTAGCAAGCAATTGATGCCTTACCACTTTGGGTACACATATCTGTTTGCCTGCCCCAAACACTAATTACCTTAGTGGTTTTGTTTAAAGATGAGATGTCTTTGACTTTCTTTTCTGAAGAAATTTCCATCTGAACTGTTGCTTGATTGAATTGGTATGGCCGTATGGGAATCATTCTAGATACTCACCAGCTAAATCTGCGATAATGTATGCATCTTGATATGTGAGAATCACATGATCTTGATGTCTGCTGATCTTATTTTCTGACGCAACTACAGAACTGCAAGGTTCGTAGAACCTCTTCTGCTGTTGCTGGGTTACAGTCTTCTTCCTTTTCTGTCACTGCTTTGCATTTGCAACATCTCAACCAGAAGGAAATCAGCTGCAGAAGGTTCATTGAATCAACATTCCCTGTGGCCCATGGGGGTTGACAATGGACATTGAACTAGAAAGGCTTCGTGGAAGCCAGCACCAAGACATACCCTTTTATTCTCCCTTTTCCTTAACCCTTATCATCTCTGATCTCTCTACTTTCCTTTGAGATATTCCATAAGCCCTACTTGCTTTCCTCCTTTTTTCTGCTTTCTGTCATAATCTCAATGGCCCTTGTGTCTACCATGAATGAGTGTTCTACTGTTTTGGGGAAGTTCTTAATCTTAAACAAGGTTTGAGCCTTTTGCTCTTTTGCCATTGCTGTGACTAGAGTTTGATTTGAGATTGAGAAAGATTTTAATAATAGCAGTAGTAAGGACTAAGGACATGAATTATGATGAGCATGTTGTCTTGCTAACTTTTATGATTAGGTGGTTCTTGTTTAAAGTCACGCTGGCCCAATTGCTTTCTTTTTGATGAGTTACCAACTAAAATAATGAACTCTTCAACTGTGCTCCACAGGTCACCAGCTCTCTCTCACTCACTCAATTTATCGCATTCATGGTTTCTGGCTTGTTTGGGTCCTCAATGTCTGGTACAACCTTCACCATTTGGCTATTGTCCCTGCCATGATTTCTTACCCTCAAGCTTTACCTATTTTTATGTCCTCAATCAAGACCTTTAGTAAAAAGGCTATCCACAGTTGTTAAGATGGGACGATGATACAATGGTTGTTATAGTAGTCTATAAGAAGTTTCATACCTCCATGAGAAGAATTCGACTTAACTTTAGGTTATAATCGTGATTTGGGTTCAAAAATCACATGAGAATGCTTATGTGTGAGATAAAAGTAAAGAGAAATACGAAAGAGCAATCTTACATGAGACAAAGATTTATGTAATTTGACAAATGTGGGTAATGTTTTTCTCCGTTGCAATGTCGTTTAATTACGATTAAGAAACTGTATGGTTTTTTCTTTTATACAAGTCTAGTAGTAGGAACCCATTTTCTTTCAATAGGTGATGTGGGCCTTAGATGCTAAGTTAGGTTTTGATAGTGTGGTGGCCCTAAGCCTAAACCATACACCAACATGTAGGAATGAAGGCTGTCAAACCATTAGGTTACATCTCCCACTCACTCTCATCTAATTAGAGTTTAAGGCCAGCTTTACACGTTCATGAGCTTTGAAAGAAAGGGATACCCGACGAAACAAGGGAGTCCCATGTCGTGAAAGGTCACTGTCTTATCCTGCAAAGCAAAGAGGGCTGCTGAGTTAGAGAAGTACCAACAATGGAGAGAAAGGGTGGGGGGAGCATGAAAAGGAAAGAAGCAAAGGAGCAACTATACTGATAGATAAAAGCCTCGCCCTTTTGGCTTGGGAACATAACATGCAGCATTATTTGGTATTGAAAGCATGGCAATACCCACCTTCTATTCTATACCGGCTTTTTTCAATGTAGGAGGTCCAGAACAAGCACAAACGAGAAGAGAGGATTGATAGATATTTGATAGAATAGCAATTAGAAAAGAAGGAAGACAAGAAAGTGGTAAAGCTGCCTCTCATTCACATGCCCCCACTCTTCACCTTTTTAAATACCCACCTAAACTTGGTGCTTCATGATTAGTTTAGTTAGCGGGTGGATATTCATAAACCCAACCAAATGGAGAATCAACCACAAAGAAGTAAGGAAATAATAGAGAGACCCCAATAGAGATCCACCAAGAACATGTTGATTGCCATCATTGCAATTGCAACTATATGTAGTTCAACAAATCTTCACCAATCCTAATGCCATGTGAAACAACGATCATATGTCTGGGATTTCCAACTGGTCACTCATTCACACACCAAATATTATGGGCTACCATATTAGATCGAGAGCATATCCATTTTGTCATTATGAGTGGCAACACTTAAGATTAAGTTGGGTCATTCTGGAATGTTTGTCATGATGAATTGCGTCAATTAGTTGCAAGTAAATGACAGATTAAACACTTAATACTATGAACTTGATAAACGATTCGGGAGCAGACGAATTCAAATAAGATCATTTAGTGTGGCATTAGTTAATACAAGTTAAGTTATGTTCTATTATAATCAATATGAGTTGACGCATATTCAATCACGTAATGCTTCAACATGTATCAAATTAAACACTTGTTTTCTCGGATGAGGATCAACTTATGATCTTTGAACTGGACAAAAGCAAATTGGTTTGGGTTGTACCAAAAACACCAATGGAAGAAGATAACCATAATTGGGAGGTAAGCAAACACATTTTCACATGGCCTACCCCATCCCTAAAAGCATATTTCTACATTAGACCATGAACCATCAAAGGATCATCCTTTCCACAAAGGCATGAAAGCTCCATACCACAACAAGAAGACATAAGAAATTCATTATCTCCTCATTAAAGAGAGTTGGGTTGGGGGAGTTGAAATCTCATTATTGAAAGATCTTCCGAAGAGAAGATAGTATATTATTGTCATGAGTTAACACATCAAATAATGGGGATATTAATGCAATCAGCTCAAATTTTGTGGGTTAGCGATGAGCATTTAAATTGAGTTGTTTGATGTGTAGACGCAGCTCACTCCTAGTTTTCTGCTGATAGAAAAGTCGGTTGAATTTAATTGATTATCAAGAATATTAGGTTCTAATACAAAACTCCATTTATAGGATCGTTTGCATGCTATACCTGCATGACTGAATCTGGTAAATACATTTTATACTATGAATTTAATCTCATTGACTCTCTGAATAAAAAACGAGTCAGTGCCAATTATTTTTGTATCACTATCACGAGCGTCATCCCTGAGTTGTCAACCTGGGGACTCTAGACTGAATATTAGCTGCACGACCACTCTGCTACAACCTCGTTCGTAATAGTATAAAATGATTTAACCATGATTAAACTATAATTTGCACACAAAATATCTTACTTCTAACTTTTTCGGTACTACGCAATCAATTTCATGAAAATATAGAGATATAAATTCCACTTTTTTCCAAAAGATCCATTCCTTATTCCTTAATAAAATCAATGCTTTCCTTTCACTATAATTACAACCTTTCCTTTTTCTCTTTATTACTTAATTTTTGTGTTGACCAAAATTTTCCTTTTTTATTGCAAATTCACCTCCCCATTGCCTTACTTATCATATGAGATTCTTCCACAATACAATTAACCCAAAGATTTAGTTGAGTTTCCACCAGTATTTTTATTGATTCTTGTTAACATTTTTTTCCTAATCTTTGAGATATGGATGATCTTCAATGGAATCTTGTTCCAAGTTAACACACCACTATGATTGCTCCAACACATGTCTTCTCTCTGCACAGTCATCTTTTCTTTACCCTTTTAGCAGTTTCCTCTAGGGGTGTTAGTCGGTGCGGTTTCGGTTTAACCGCACCGAAATATCGGTTAACCGCAACCAAAATTGTCCCAAGATCACTAACCGAAACCGAAACCGACAGAGACTTCGGTTAACCGAAAACCGCAAACATCGGTTTCGGTTTTCCCTTGCGGTTAACCGAAACCGCAGGTTCTGGTTCACTTTCTCGATTTTCGTTCAGAAACCGACCACCCAAAACCGAATTTCAACCACCTTTTTTAATGATTCACCCTCAATTTTGAGTGACCTGCTTTTGTTTCAGCCTCTATAATCACACACCATAAAGTCATCTAAATCAATTGAACATAAAGCCTAAAGCAACCACACAATCAACCACAACTCCACAACATAAAGTCTACATGCCCACAATTCAACCACAAGTCACAATCACAACAAGACACAAATAACAAGTTCATTATCTCCAAATCATCAACCTAAATGATCCGAGGATCTCGCTCCAATTCATCTAGCCCATAGTCATCATTTACTCCAAGATCTTCATCTAGCCCATAGTCATCAACAACCTAAGGTTCACTCTATCGAGTGCAAAGGGGATTTAGAGAGGGGTGACTTTCGAGTTCTAACTCTTAAAAACATTTGAGACTCTTGATGGAGGGTTGTTTGCAATAGGTGAGAATTGTGATGTTTGGAATTGCAACTTTGATTGGTTTTGAATCTTACAAATTTTTCCCTTAGCCAAAGTAAAAAACCATGTAGTCACACTAGTAGGCGGTTATCGGTTTTCTTATCGGTTAACCGCTAACCGATTAATCGGTTAGCGGTTAACCACTAACCAAAATACTACTAACCGAAACCGAAATCAATAAGGAAGTAGCGGTTATCGGTTAACCACTAACCGACTTTATCGGTTCGGTTATCGGTTAAAACCGATAACCGACTAACCGTTTATCACCCCTAGTTTCCTCCCTCTTCCCCATAGGGCCATAATATAATACCACTGGTTCTCTCTTCTCCCAATTGTCACCTTTATCACAGCTTTCAAAGGTCCAACCCAACCAAAGGTTCCTTCCCATATATTAACCCTTTGCTGTCCTTTAGATTATTTCCTTTCCTCAAATAAACAAAACTCCATAGGTTCTCCCAAAGAACACTAGAACAGTATCCCATTGTCTCTCTTGAGCCTTGTCTCTTGCCATCTTCTTGGTTTTACTTTTATATATGCGAACCAACTTCACAACTTTCCCCTCCATTTCTCCCCACTCTCTGCAGAGAAAAGCCTGCTGTGAATGCCAGAGTAAGAGTTCACCTTCCTTTGTATTTTCCCTTCAATTCCCAACTGGGTTGTCTGTCTTTGAGGTTAAAGTTTTGATCTTTAGCTAGTTTCATTGCCTCATTTCTTGGTCTGTGATCTGTGGTTGAAACTTGAAACTGCATATTTGTTCTATGGTCTCTTTTCTAGCCTCCCCACTTCCTTCATAGAGCTAAAGTTTCCATCTTTAACTAGTTTCATTGGCTGTTTCTCTCTCAGGTTCTGAATTTGCATGTTCTGTTAAACGCAAGCTACAGTAATATTTGCATATTGATCTCTCTGCCTTCCTGGAGGAAAAAACTATGCCTCCAACGTACTTACCCTTGAGATGGGAAAGCACAGGAGACCAATGGTGGTATGCTGCCCCAATAGATTGGGCAGCAGCCAATGGCCACTATGACTTAGTCAGACAGCTCCTCAAAATCGACAACAACCACCTCATCAACCTCACATCCTTGAGACGAATTCGTCGCCTCGAGACAGTGTGGGACGATGAGCAATCCTCATCCTCCTCGTCCCTTGACGTGGCTAAATGCCGGTCCCATGTGGCTAGGAAGCTCTTCATAGAGTGTGAATCGAGCAAGAGTAGTGGTGGGAAGAGCAATTCCCTTGTGGCATCTGGATATGGTGGATGGCTCATGTACACGGCTGCCTCAGCTGGGGACTTGAACTTTGTTCAAGAGCTCCTTCAGAAAAACCCCTTGCTTGTGTTTGGTGAAGGAGAGTATGGTGTTACTGATATACTCTATGCTGCTGCTAGGAGCAAGAACAGTGAAGTTTTCAGGCTGGTTTATGACTTTGCTGTCTCTCCAAGGTTCTTGGCTGCAAAAGGTGGGGGTTTGGAGGAGCATTTAGGGGACATTCCTCTCACGTACAAGTGGGAAATGTTGAATAGAGCTGTTCACGCTGCTGCTAGAGGTGGGAATGTTTCCCTTTTGAAGGATCTTCTTACTAACTGTAGTGATGAGATCTTGAGCTATAGAGATAAGCAAGGATCCACCATCTTGCATGCTGCGTCAGCCAAAGGCCAAGTTGAGGTAACACATACATCATTTGGATAGCTCATGTTGAGATGCTTTGTATTCAAATCTATTCTAACACGATCATGTTTCTGTGTATGTTCAGGTGGTTAAGTATCTTATATCAACCTTTGACATGATCGAATCAACAGACAATCAAGGCAACACAGCATTACATATTGCAGCTTACCGCGGCCAGCTACACGTATTCCAAGCTCTAGCCGAAGCATCTCCGTCGATGCTTGCATCTACTAACAATGCTGGTGAGACTTTCCTCCACATGGCAGTCTCAGGCTTCCAAAACCCTGCATTCAGAAGACTGGACAAGCAGATTGAGCTCATGAAGCAGCTGATTCGTGAGGGAAGTTTCCATATCGAAGAAGTTATCAATGCCAAGAACAATGATGGAAGAACAGCACTCCACACTGCAATCCTTGCCAATATGCACTCTGATCTTGTCCAGCTCCTGATGGCCGTCGAATCAATCGATGTGAATGCTCGAGACGCAGATGGAATGACCGTGCTTGATTTGCTTAAGCAGCGCCCTCGTTCTGCTTCTTCTGATGTCCTGATCAGGAAGCTGATCTCTGCTGGTGGGATTTTCAGTTGCCATGATTACACGGCAAGGAGAGCCATTGCTTCGCGGCTTAAGCTGCAATCTGGGTTAGGAAGTCCAGGGACTTCCTTTAGACTCTCCGATACAGAAGTTTTTCTCTATACTGGAGTTGAAGTTCGAGCAAATGGTGGACAAGGCAATGGAGGAATGAGTTCATCTTCCTTGGAACTGAATCAGGTGGATTATACAACGGCGAAGAAAGAAGAAGATGAGACTCCTAGCCATGCTGCTCAAGGGCTGAAAAGGGTACTCCAATGGACCAGGAAAAAGCATAGGAAGCCTGCTGAAGGACACAACAGAAATTGCTCAGTAGCTTCATCATCAAGGAGATGCAGTACAGTAACAGCAGCTAGTACTACTGCTTCAGATGAAAACCAAGCAGCAGCCCCACTTCGCCATCGATTCTCTACCAAGCTATCATTAACACCACCATCTACAGCAAGCAACAAGAGGACACTGGCAGTTAGGAGCAACCAATCAAGTCCAACAGCCAAGAAGAAGCTTGCTTCTGGGGCATTAGTCCATGGAGTCGTTCAGGCATTGCCACAGATCGCAGTTCCTGGAGCGAGATCACGGTCTAGTTCGTTCTCCAAATCGTCCCTCTCTTCTCCATGCTCAAAGGGTGTGCTTGGTGAAGCCGAGGGATTGGATGGAGGGTCGCCGAGCTCGAAACACAACCACCACCACCATCAGCATCATCGGAGGTCGAGGAGTCAGTACTTTTGCTTTGGAGGGTCAGGCGTTTCAGTGAAGAGTCCAGTTAGTAGTAGCAGGCACAGGAGGCAGCAGAGTGCTAGCTTTACTCCATCTATTGTGTCAGTTGCTTAACAAACAAACAAAAAAGGTGCAAGTTTTAGAGGAAATGGCAGCTAAACTGACTGACAGAAGACTCTAGCAAAGTTCATAATAAGGCATTCCCTAATTAGTAGAATGTCTTCTTAATATCTCATCCGTTTACCTGCATAAGCTCAATGTAATTTGTACCTGTGTAGTGTGTTTGAAGATAAAGAAATGGAAACAGCTTGTTTTCTAAACTGTGGCTGACCAATGAGGTCTCAAAACTGAAGCCAACTGTGGGATTGGCTTCATTCAGATTTGGGCTTCTGGGCCTAATGATTGGGCTGAATCCTAACTTTGTATTATTGGACAGGCTTAGAGGTGGGTATGGAATTTGTCAAATGCTGGCATGGGCTGTATTTGGGCTGTTCGCATTGATTGTTGAGGCTAATGTGTGGCCCATCAAAATATGATGATTGTTGCATTTGTTTACGTTTTGCCTTCCACTTTAGGCTTTGTATATATAGAAGACTTCCTGAAAATTTTGGGACCATCTCTTTAAAAATCCAAAATGTACAATGTAACAGTTGTTTTTCAAGAAATCATCATAAATTCAGAAATCGTATTCTTTGTTATTTTTCTGTACAATACAATTTGAGCCTTTGTCGAATTTGAGGAATCAAAATATTCCCCCTTATCCAATACAATCACAAGAATCAATTCATACGGAATATATATCTATATATGCCCAATTCCCCAAACAAGTTACAGGAGTTGCAGACATACATAGTAAGGTTGATCAAAATTCAAAACAATTCCTTTATTAGAGTTTAAAGGATGCGATAGTACAATTGTACTCCTATACTAGAACTGGAAGGATAGAAATAAGGAGCTAGGACAGAACCAAATTGTTAGGAAAGCTATACATAAGTTTGTGCAAAACATTAAGCCACCCAACTGCTTCCTGTCCACCCTAAAGAAGGGTCCTTCCAAATTCCAATCCATTAGCCATGATCAGTTTTCTGGTACAGCCTATCTACCCCTAATCCTTCCACACAATTCACAGTAATGGAAAGTGGCAGAAACCCTCAAACCCCACCTGCCCTGTTGCCCTCCAATTCAAGCTCTACTACGAAGCTTCCTTGCAGTGTTGCTTCATGCTTACGGCCAATTTACAATTGAATACACAGCCATAAACTTCCTGCTCATTTCAGGAAACCTAAGAACCTAACCACCCGACCTGCAGAAACGCGGGTTTGGGATATAATTGAAGAGGTAGGTAATTGGATCGTTGAAGAAAGAATGGTGATGATGCAAAAGAATTATTATTTGGAAGCAAGTCGATTATTATAAGACCAGAGTGGTGAGGGAAGGATCTTACGACCGTCACCATTACACTAGGCTTGTATCATCATCGGATCAGCCAAGTCCAAACAAAATGCAAGATTTTATCTCACATGCCACTGTTTCATGGAGGGATATCGTAGTGTACCATTTTGTACTTTCTGCAGTAAATATATATATAGTAGATCAAGGAAGTTAAAAGGATAAAATCCTAATTGTCATAATTGTTGGAAGGCAACTGAGATGCCAGAGTAGGGGAGGGGTTTAGTCTGTTTCGTAGTTTAATTTGGGTTGAGTTTGAACCACCGTGGTTAGTGGTGGGTGTGTGATCAAGTGCAAGGTTTAGCTAGTCATGTTATATGTTTTTTACTAATTTTCGATGAGTCAGCAAACTGATTAGAGATATTGGGTGAAAAACGAATATGATAACAATATAAAATTTTTATATCGCAATAGATACAATGATTACTTTTTTTATTTTATAAATGTTTATTGTTACTCGCACAAAATGTGATTATTTTGTTTCATTTCTCCTCCACCAAGTATATATATATACACGTAATTGAGTTTTCATGAATCATGATAAGACGTGATTTTGTGATTTGATGCTTCGATGATATCAAATTCAATCTTCAACTAGTTACTCTCTTGGAAAAAGTCTGAACCCACTTCTTCTCCAGAAATCTACTCACTTAAACCACCCCTTGGTAGTTGGTATGCAATTAGTCATTGACTATATGTATAAGTTATCCATCTCTCCTTTACGTCATTTTTTTGTCCTTAGGGTCTGAATATGTTTTCTTGGTTTGAACTCTTTTCAACAGCAAGGAAAAAACACATCCCTAGGCAGCAAGCGGTTTCGATTATACGTTGTAATTCGTTGAAAAACAATTAATTTTTCAATCAATGGGATGAGATTAATTAGGAGAATAACAGGCAGCATATGAACACATGGACTTGATTCTCAACAACTTGGAGAGAGATATTCCTAGCTAATTATCATACATCAACAACTACTAAGGGAACACGAATTAATTAATGTGCCAATTTCAATCAATATTTGTTCAGGCAGTCGACTTCAAAAATGACAGCTGCAAGTTGATATTAGCAATTGACTCCCCAATACATTGTTGGCGCTCCAATACAAAACATGGTGATGATGGTGACGACGATGGGCGTATAATCTATCGTACCATTCCAACTGGGAATAAGGTGATTGATGGTAACTTCAATATGAACTCCCTCCCTCCCTAGTTATTCTATTATTTCGGTTACTTCACCCCATTTGATTTGCTAGTTTGTTGAGCTAGCTATATAGTTGTATATACGTGACATGAAAATGACCGTGCCATAACATATACAACTTATTTAACACCGGGATGGCAAGATTTGACAATTCCCCTATTGTGCTTCTGAGTTTAATTCATTATTTGTATAATCTACCATGTTTATAAAAAAAAAACATTCAGGTTGAGAGTAGGGCTGCAAATGAGCCGAGCTGTTTGCGAGCGGCTCGGTGTTCGACTCGAGAAAAGCTCGTTCGAAACTCGGCTCGTTAATAAACGAGCCGAACATGAGCTAAGCTTTCTTCAGCTCGTGAAGCTCGCGAGCTAGCTCGACTCGGTGGCTTGTTGAACTAAACTCATGAGCTGGCTCATTTAGAGCTCATGATATGGCTCAACATGTGGCTAGAGAGCCAACTCGATTACTGACTTATGGACGAATCAATCTATATCTTATGTTTTTAATTCATATGGTTGTTAAATTATATATCTCACCATACATAAAGTTTAAAACGTTGAGTATGTGAGCAAATATATCTTATTTTCTACTTAAAAAAAAATTATGTATCATAAATTGCTTCGTTACATTGAAATAACATGATTTGGAGTAGTTAAAATTTATTAACTAAATGATATATGATACCAACAAAGTATAATATGATATTAGCAAACAAAATAAATCATGTGTATATTGATATACAAAATGAAGTACTAAATAAAAGTCAAGATTTTAGTAAACAAGCTAGCTCGAACTCGACTCGACTCGTTAATAAACGAACTGAGCTCGAGCTCGACTCGTTAATAAACGAGCTGAGCTCGAGCTCGACTCGTTTATTAACGAGCTGAGCTCGAGCTCGACTCGTTTATTAACGAGCTGAGCTTGAGCTCGACTCGTTTATTAACGAGCCGAGCTCAAGCTGGGGTAAAAATCGATTCGACTCAGCTCATTTGCAGCCCTAAGAGTCAACACTTATGAATTATGATTGTAAATTCGAATTGCCCAATCTCATGAGTTTGCCAAGTTTGGTGGCATGAAAATGGCTATACCATTATTTATATACCACTTATTTAAAATCAAACAGTGATTCAAGTGATAAAAATATGAGGATTGAAATGTCGTGCTCTTTCTAAGACAATCCACATAACATAGCTATTATTCTAAATGAATTTTCGTTGTGGATCACAAAAGGAGTTATATATATGCTCCAATCGTCTATTCTGATAAGTTTGTGAGATATAATAGCAAGAATTATAATTTGGGTTAGCTTTTAGAGTAGAAAGAGGATGAAGTGTGACAAACAAGGATGGGGATGGATAGCACGTAGCGTTGACTAGACTATTAATACAAGTCAAAGTCTTCAATTTGGCCTCCATGTTCCAATGAAATTTCCACAACATGGAAAGCCTTACGGCACCTACCATCGTTCCTTTTCAAATTGATAAGCACAAACAATATAGCGCATATATGATTTCTGAAAGAGATAGATAGCCTAATTGTGTATGTAAACACACGCAAGTCACTATTACAATTCGAGTGATCACTTTTAGAATGTCTCTTTGATAATTACCAAGCCAAGGTAATGGGAATGGCAGATAAATGTCTCCTCATATAACAAGAAGTACTTGTGCTGGAACGTCTACTTCTAATGGTAGTTTCTTTGATTTTATATGTTTAGCGGTCTTGTAGTGGCAAGGAAACATACTAAAAGACGAATGGATTAATCAAGTAGGATCGTGCATGCGAAGATGTATACCTATATATGCTAGACGCTAGTGACTAAGAACATTCGGTAAAACCATGACGTCTAGTAAATGTAATGAGTTTCAACTTCATAAGCAAAATAAACCGCACTCTCTACAAACGCTCACATGACTCTTTGAGATGCTTGTCACAGACGTCTCAAACATAAGATATGAGACATCTTAACGATAAATGCAGTTTTAATAATAGCGTATGAAATTATATATATAGGCAAACTGACTTACTTAATAGACTTCGTATATGTAAAGGTGTAGATTATGTTCAAACATCAACCCTTTGTCTCTGTGTTTTCACATGCAGAATTGAAGCCCTAACTTCACCTTAATCGGCAGATAATCAAGCCCCCACCCCCATAGTGGGTATGTAGGCGGCAGGAAGATTCAAAGGTTTTATGGTACCACCAAATGCGCCCACAATGATGAGATCTTTATTATTCTATTGGACTACTTATTGTTCTTAGGAGTTTGAAAACAACTGTGTGGTAATCATAATATATTAAAAAGTCGTCAGGTAGTGAGATTCTATCTTTTATTTTCATTGGTTTTAAGGGATGGACTTAACATGTCTGTGGTGCAAGTCAACTATAGAAAATCAAACTTGTACAACCCCCCAAAAAAAGCTATAGGTGGCTATGGCTGGCTAGCTCCACAGTCCATACCATGTACGCTAATATTATTCAAAGTTTGACAACCTCTCAAACCATCCCACTTAGAATCACACGATTGGGTGGTGTTTTGTTCTTTTTGACAAAGGGTGATCCCGGTTTAATTAATCAAAAAATTTCAAGCATTAACACATGACAAAAAGAAACCACTCGCAATTCATACAAGAAACGACTCGCAATTCATACAAAATATAGAGAAATGGAGGTAGAATTTAACGGAGAAAAGATGACGGTTTGAGGGAGAACGAGAGGAGACTAGCCAGTAGGATTAGAGTTGGTGCGAAGTAGAAAAAATTCTTTAGTAATTTACTACTTGATTTCTCCTTCATAAATTACGTAAAAGATAAAGCCTAAAACCTCTTTAAACCAGGGTCGGAGCTACGTTCAACACGGGGTGGGCCCTGGCCCCCAAGACTTTAAGGATACTTAGTATAAATTTATAACCACAGCCTGTTTTGTAAATTATGTCATGTAATAGCCATGTGGTCTAAATGGTAGCAGTTCTCTCTTAAAGCACACATGGGTTCAATCCCCATTTGTCATATACATTTTGCATTCCCCAAACCAAAAGGAAATCTCTCATTTAATTCCTATCTACGAAACTATACCAAACGAAAATCTCCCATTTAATCCCCATCTACGAACCTATTTTAATACGTTCAATGATCTCAAAGAACGTCGTATACTTGTAAAATAATTCTAGAATATAAAAAAACATTACAAACATGGTTGACAAAAATGACAAACATGGTGGACAAATATAACAAAGCTTAAAAACATTACAAAAGAAACCGACAAACAATACAAAGTATACTAACCATGGCCGGCCAGTTTGGAATGGGGAAAATCATCGACTCTCTCTCTCTCTCTCTTTGTTGGGAATGGGGGAAAATCCCCATAAAAGTGGATCGCTGGCTTGGAATGGGGAAAAAGAACGTTGGGAAAGGGGGACCGCCGGCACTGGGATAAGTCGGGGAGGCTGGCCGTCGGGAGAAATTTCCCAGAAACGCTCGACAGGAGCGGCGACGGGGTAGCTGTGGGCCCGCATTTATTTTTGTTTATTGCTAAATAAATAAATAAATTGTGTATTTACTATCATGACCTTTATTAAATGAGATTAATCACAATCATTGGATTAAAACTTAAATGAATGGATGCTATTGGCTTAATTATGAGACTAAGAAACCCCAGTAGTTATTTGATCTTAGCCCAATCTTTGTATCTGAAAATGTTAATAATTTGCATATTTTATTACAAAATGGAGCAAAATATTAGCTAAGATTCTAAAAGATTCCACCAGCCCACTTGGTTGCTCCCTCCCTCAAATTCTTCGTCAGCCTTCATCCCATTACTGCTCTATATAACAACCTGTCGATCGATGTATCTTAGAGAAGAAGCCTGTGATAGTATATTTCCCATGGCCGGCCGGTTTGGAGTTTGAGTCATGACAATATGCATAATCGAAGGATCCCTCGAAAAAACCTAGGAAATTGCCTAAATTATACCAACTACAATAATTGTATAGCTTGCTAGGGAAGGCCAATTAATTTATGCCATGACAAGTCGATAATTAGTTTATTGTATTAATCAGAATCATTAGGAGAGGTCTATAACTCAACTATTTCTTTACATGCATATACATACACACTTTAGTCACCATACGATTATTGCTGAGATATGCCAACAACTAATTATTGAAAGGTCTGTGAACCTTATATGTTGCATTACAGGTTCGGAGTTAAGAGAGTGGTATAAAATTTGTTCCAAAACCTCTCTTAACAACTCAAGTTATTGGAATATAGAACTAAATGATTTTTATATAATATTAGAGTGCTTGCGATGACCAGGAGGTCTTGCATGTGTTCGAATCTTATAACCTCCCAATATCAACTATTGATTCAATCATGATGTATAACGGGTCCAAACAGCTTCAAACTCATAGGTTGGTCCTTGTTTGCAAGAGCGTATAAGATAATGGTATAGTAAGATCCATTATAGAACATATCCCCACTGGTGTTCGACACCGAGCTAGGATCCGAACATAAAACACCTATCAATCAAACATCTTTAATATCATATTAAGAATCAATTCATAATTCACAGAAACTCAAATTGTTATGAGAGATGATCATTCAAACATCAATCATATATCACTTCGTAACACTTTGATCATGACATTAATAAACTTCAAGTGTGTTAGTCAAAAGTACTACTTCAACTAAGAGTGCCTTGGCCAATTATGATCACACAACTATATATAGGAGCATTCCATTCCACCCACTAGACAAGTAGACATGCATGTGATGTTATAAAACTGTCTAGATCAGTTGCCTCACACCAAATGGTAGAAAAAAAGTTTCACAGGAGAAACGTATTTTCAAGCTCTCTCCCCACCCAAAGCAGGAAATCCGTCCAAAGTGGTGGAAAATTAAGCTTGCACGTGAAATTCCAGACGATTACACTTATTGTTATCAGTACAAATTGTGCTCCATCTTTCGTGCTTTATATTAATTGGCAATGGCAGAAAAAGGGAGTCTCCAAACTGCTGTGATGGATCATGTGAGGAATTGCTCATCAGACATCAGTTTAATGATATAAAAATGTCTCTGTGTAAACATTCATTTCGTCTTTGCCTTTATTTCGTTCCAGCTATTGTTGAGCGCTGCAGGCTCCACCAGCCGTCATTGCAGTTGCAGGAACTGCAGAAAAATTAAACAAGGTACTGCAGTAAAAAAACTAAGTTACGACTCCGCTGGGGATCGAACCCAGAATCTCTGGTTTCGTAGACCAGCGCCTTATCCATTGGGCCACGGAGTCGTTTTGTTATGCACAGCAATATAATAATTAATTCACAGATAAAGTCATAGCTAACTTATCATATTGTCTTGCATATCTGCATCAAACAACTATTTGATTTACAAATTTTGTTTCAACCAAATAAAATAATGGTTGAGAACATTGTGGGTGCTTATTCGAGCTTCATTTGGTACGATATGTTTTAAGATAAATGGAGTATGTGGAGATGTGATTATAGTTCCGATGATTGTCCACTTGTTTTGGCCTTTGATTTGGCTTTGAAGAGGAATAATGGAATTTACTTCATATGTATTAGGTGGACTATAGATAAATTTGGATTTGTGTAGTTATACTAACATCTCCAGAAATCTTGAAATTTTGAAGTAATCTATCGTTGGATTATAGATGTGATTTGAATTGATGTAGTCATACTCAAATCGTGTTTGTTAATGCTTACTTTTATAAATGATCTGAACTCAGAAAAAATTAACTACAATAAATTGGATAGCCTTTATAATGATCTATGACTCATTTCAAACCAAGTTTTAAGATACTTGTATGAAGTGATGGTTCAATTCTTGTAACACATAAACCTAATGTTGGAAGATTACCAAAGCAAAAGGTTTCTCATAAATGTCTCATATTGCCCCACTAAGGCTGTTAATGAACCAAGCCGCTCATGAACGGCTCGTTGTGCGACTCGAGAAAAAACTCGTTCGACACTCGATTCGTTTTAATCGAGCCGGCTCGCGAACAAACTCGTTAACTAAACGAGTCGAACACGCGTCATGTCATGTTCAGCTCGAAAGCTCGCGGACAAGCTCATTTAATGGTTTGGCATAAAAAAAGAATTAGAAATCAGGGATTTTATGTGTTGAAGTAGGATAAATATTGTGTTTTACTTTGCTACAAGTTTGAATGTAATTTTGTGCACAGTTCTAGGTCAATCTTGAGCTATCATGAACATTTTATGAGCTGAACTCGATTTTGGGCTCGTTAAGCTTATTTGACGAGTCGAGCTCGAGTCGAGCTCGAGCTTTCATTTTCATAAACGAGCCGAGCTCGAGCTTGCATATTAAAGCTCGTGACGAACACGAGCCGAGCTCGAGCCTGGAAATATATTAACAAGCCGAACCCAAATTATGGCTAAGTTCGGCTCGGCTCATTAACAGCCCTAGCCCCCACACAACTTGGATGTGGGACAGCCAGATAGCCAAGTAAGCCGGCTGAGGAGGTTACCATGGAATTTTCCAAAAGGCAAGTTGGAGAGTAAAAGGAGGCAAAAGAGTTCACACAAAAACCTTTTTACATAGCTAATTTAGATAAACGTCACTAAACTTCAAGATTGTTAATAGATTGGTAACTACATGTTAAATTATCCACAAAGTTGGCACAAAAGTTTGGAATAACTAATATTATAGTCAACTCCATCCAATTTCGACGTATTTTTTTATCCAAATTAACAGTCAAATCACATAAATTATCAATGCATAGGTCAAATAAACCCTCTAATTAACTATAGAGTAGAAAGATGAATTGAGTTTCTAATATGTCTTGAAATTCGTTAGCACTAATGAGTTTGATTCCGAACATGTATGAGTCAAGATGGGTAGTTCAAGTTGGCTACATAAGTTCAGTATTACTATTATCAAATTGATTAAGTTGATACATTATTAAAGACAATACAGTCAAAATCTTACCATGATATACGAACATGATCATTAGAGAATCGAGATTGAATGCCTAACTTGTTAGTACCTAAAGTTTAGATGTTATGGATTCCTTATTTTTAGGCTCTAATTCAACTAATCTTCCTACTCAAAACCCCTCAAATTTCAACCAAAGACTTTCCAATCTCCCAAGTCAAACAAACAAACAAAAAAGAGAAATGAAGAAAAAAATAAATGAATATTAAGTTATTAACACAAAGGCTCCCTTCTTCTCCCTCCCCTGTCTATAAATATATACACAGCACAAGCCTGCAAATCCTAGATTCCCAACTCTGTTTCCCCCTGTCAGAGAAACTCCCCAACTCAGCCAACCCACCCCATTCATTAAAACTCTCCTCCTTCTTCGCTCTTCTTCTTTGCTCTGCCATTTCTTCAAGCTGAAGAACAATGGTGGGAACAGAGCAATCTCCACCTGGTAATAATCACCAGCAGCAAGTAAGTCTCTTCCCACGCACCCATACTTTATGTTTCAAAGATTCTATAGCTTTGTGGTCTGGGAAACTGTAAAGTTTCAACCTTTCATCCTTTTTGTTCGTAAGGCTTAATGTTAGATGGATTGCAATTGTCTGTTAGTTTCTTAACAATTCATTAGTTCCCTTTATTTTTTTAGTTCTGGGTTCTTTTTCCCTCTGGTCTAGCTTGGGGCAGAGCAAAACTTTCACCTTTTAAGTTTCGATCTTGTGAACGTTTTTGGGAGGAATTGAGGTTAAAATTTACTCACTCTGTTTTACCCTTCACATTTTGATTGTTCATCTTCTGATTAGAACTCTGTTTTCCTTCCTCTCTGTTTTTTGGGTTCTAGCCAGAAAAGGCTTTTAACTCTGTTTAATTAAACAAATTACTATAATCTTAACTGGAAGTTGTAATTAAGAAGGTTAACCTCATCTCCCCATTCTAAGGTGAAAAAAACAATGACCATATACCTCCTTGTCAAAGCCAATTGTTTCTTGTGCTCTGTTTTGCCGGCAACTACAGAAATGGACGAAAATCTCAACACCTCTCTGAATCATTCTTTGTTTTAGAGGCCAGCCCACTTCTGAAAATTCAGTTAGATTAACTCTAAATTTGAATTAATAGAAGTTTTCTTCTTTCCCATTCCCCGATTCTGCCACTTATTATGGTTGTCTTCTTCTGTGAGTGCCATGTGCTTGAACAAGTCAACAGTCCCCTGTTAAAAATACAAATCAAGTTATTAAGAGAGAGGAAGCTCAAGAAGTAATCCACTTGGATGCTGAGGTTTATCTCTAATATACAAGTCAACAGTTGCATCTGTAAGGAATCATAACAAACATATAATAATACTGCAACGATGCATGTATGTTTGATTTTTTCCTTGCCTTGGATTTCTCTCCCTTACCTTATCAGGAAAAAATGTTCTTATTTCTGGTGTTTTGCAAGTTTTTTTTATTGATTTCTGTTAAGGCCAATTAAAACACAAAAATAGTGAAAAGAAAGAAGGAAATTATGGGGTCTTGTCTTGTCTTCTCTCCAGAGAGTATGGAACATGGATTGGCTACCTAGATTCATTCTATAGGGTTCAAGAATTGCACTTTTTGAGAATCTGCCAAAGAAAGAGGCTTTTTTTTCTTTCTTTTATAGTGGGTACACTTTTTGGTGTTCTGGGCCACATCCCAAATGTTTCTTTTAAAATGGGTTGTGATAGTAATGAACCATTGTGACATTTTTGGCAGGTGGATGATGAGAAGCTAGCAAAGCAGAAAGCAATTGATGAGTGGCTTCCAATCACTGGCTCAAGGAATGCCAAATGGTGGTATTCTGCTTTCCACAATGTCACTGCCATGGTTGGAGCTGGAGTTCTCAGTCTCCCTTATGCCATGTCTGAGCTTGGATGGTAAGTCAATCATTTCTCCCAAACAAGCACCCCTAGAATTGTTGTTTTTTTACCAAATGAATAGGACCGATTTGGGAAGAATTAAGAAGTTCAGTGATCGTTTCGGAAAATTAGCATGAATCTTATTTCTTGTTTCTCTCTTCACCAGGGGTCCAGGAGTTGTAATCCTGGTGCTGTCATGGGTCATCACACTCTACACACTCTGGCAGATGGTGGAGATGCACGAGATGGTGCCCGGGAAGCGATTCGATCGATACCATGAGCTCGGCCAGCATGCATTTGGAGAGAAGCTTGGCCTCTACATTGTTGTGCCACAGCAGCTCATATGCGAAGTTGGTGTCTGCATTGTGTACATGGTCACAGGAGGTAAATCACTCAAGAAGTTCCATGACACAGTCTGCCCAGACTGTAAGAACATCAAGGTGACCTTCTTCATCATGATTTTCGCCTCCGTCCACTTTGTCCTCTCCCATTTGCCAAACTTCAACTCCATCTCTGGTGTCTCCCTAGCTGCTGCAGTCATGTCACTGAGGTAAACAAAAATTTCCAAACCATTATCACGATTCTGATTTTACTCTTACAGTCTTACGTTTTTCCATCTTATGATCCCGAATTCTTGATTTCGATCTTTTCTCTCGTAGTTACTCCACCATTGCATGGTCAGCATCATTGCATAAGGGTGTCCAGCCAGATGTTCAATATGGTTACAAGGCCAAGAGCACAACAGGAACAGTATTCAACTTCTTGAGTGCTTTGGGAGATGTTGCGTTTGCATATGCAGGGCACAATGTGGTGTTGGAGATTCAAGCAACGATTCCATCCACGCCAGAGAAGCCATCGAAGGGCCCCATGTGGAAAGGAGTGCTAGTTGCATACATTGTTGTGGCACTCTGCTACTTCCCAGTTGCCTTAATTGGATACTGGATGTATGGGAACTCGGTTCAGGACAACATCCTTATCTCCTTGGAGAAGCCTTCTTGGCTCATCGCCATGGCCAACATGTTTGTTGTCATCCATGTCATTGGTAGCTACCAGGTAAGGCCAGAAAGAAACCAGTAATTCCTTGTTGTTTGGGGTTGCTAAAGAATCGAATAAGCTAGTGACACCGAAGTTGAATAATCGTTCATGCAACTGACCCAACATTGTGTCTGACATGCTGATAAATGTCTTATGCTTTGATGCAGATCTATGCAATGCCTGTGTTTGACATGATGGAAACCTTGTTGGTCAAGAAACTTAACTTCACACCCAGCTGGATGCTTAGGTTCTGCGTTCGCAACTTCTATGTTGGTAAGTGAACTCAATAAAGCTCGAGGCTATCAATGAAAACAATCTGACCCACCTACAATGTGGATTTCTTGGAACTTATGAAAGCCAACCTGGTTGCTTCTTCTTGTGGCAGCAATGACTATGTTCGTTGGTATCACCTTCCCCTTCTTTGGTGGCCTCCTCGGTTTCTTCGGAGGGTTTGCTTTTGCACCAACCACATACTTTGTAAGTGTCACAAAATTGGACAGAACAAGAGACAATGTTTTGAATCTTGGGTCACAAGCAATTTGATTCCGAACCTGCATGCTAAATGCAACGTTAACTGTTTGTTCTGTTCTGCCAGCTGCCTTGTGTAATGTGGCTAGCCATCTACAAGCCAAAGAAGTTCGGCTTATCTTGGTGGGCCAATTGGGTAAGGGATTAATGAAAAGATTCAGTCTTTAGATTGAAAATTCAAAAGGGTCCTCTTACATTGTTCTGTTCTTGTAATTTTGTTCCACTCTAATTCCCTGTTCTTGGTCTTGCTGCAGGTCTGCATTGTGTTTGGAGTGTTGCTGATGGTCCTCTCACCAATTGGTGGGTTGAGGTCAATCATCATTCAAGCTAAGACCTACAAGTTCTATAATTGAAGCATTATATCGATCGATCGATAACACGAGAAACCCAGGGAAACATCATAGGTTGGGGGTGAAACGTTTGGGAGTATTGCACAGCAGCAAAGTAGTTGGGTTAAGGTGTTAAACAAACAAGAAAGAGTAGTTTGATGTGCAGTTTCGTTAATGTCTGATTTGTTTCTCCTTCTGTTTGTGGTTTGTTTATGAGAGATATGGTGGTGATGTAATGATGGGGGAGGGTTATAATATTGGGTTTTACAGAAGAAAACAGAAATATGATGAGGTTTCTGAAACTGACCCTTTACTACTTTACCATACAGTGTCTTGATTAATGAAAGTGAAAGCCATTTGATACAAGAGTTGAATTTGTCAAACACTTGCCCACCCTTTTTGGTTTAAGCTCTTTTGTCTTTCTTCCTCCGCAAATTCCCATCGAAGCAGAAATGTAGCATTTGGGTCTCTGTTTCGAAAATAGTATAAAATTCATCATAAAATATAAATAAACACCAGTTCCAAGAAGTAATTCAAATACATGCACTAGATCCCTAAGTCTATTACGGTACGAACTCTTACATAATGAGTACAAGATTCATGATCCTTATCTATATTTGAAATCACAATTGATCCCGACAAGTTCACAGCCCATATTGTTATCAAAGAGGTAGATTAGATGACACAATAATGGAAATTTTACCTCAGCTCCTTGACTCACTATTTTGGAGGAGAGTAAGAGAATTTATTTTTGATTATGAAACATAAGTTTGAGAATAACAAAAATTGGAACATATATGTAGGTTGTGGGTCTGTGTATACTATACCATAATGCATACAATAATTCGTTCTTCAATATGTATTAATGAGTTTGTAAACTTTATATTTACAAATTTGAGGTTAACTTTTTTATAAGTTACACTAATCTATATATAATAAACTAAGGTACATCGATAGATATGACAACCTTATAAAACAAAAACAAAAGTTTTGGATTGACGAAGTATGCTAGAGGAGAGGCGGTAGAATTTGGTTTGCAACATAAACTATACATCATATTAAATTTTTAAGATTGTCAATGTACAAAACATGATAGGATTAAGATAAATGCGGCATTTTTCAGTATGTTGGCAACATTATTCCACGCTCAAGTCCAAGATCCAGCATATATGGACTCCAGTTCCCTACACCCATCAAGCAATTTTTTCTAGATAATTTCTCAATATTCTAGCTAATTATATCTTCTTGATAATTTGTCAATATATTCTCTCGTGATGTAAACAAGATAATTAGCTAGAATATATATTAGTTAGCTTGACTTACTCAGTTACTCCAGATGTATGTCAAACTCCAAGTTCTCCACACTGTTAATCTTATCAATATACGATAAATAGTTACTAACAGCACTTATACATGTGCTTTTCGACCAACAAAATGTATACATGTCTAATAGTCTAATAACTTTTACCATCAATTACAATATCAAAGTATTTTTTTCGCGCCAACATAATATTAAGCACCTAAATTCTGTATAGATGGAAATTCATTTCTCCATTAAAATTTGTTTCATTGCTTGGCAAAGTTTAATAAGACATCATCGTCCGAACTCGCCCCTACCCCAATTTCACCATCACTATAAAAACCCAGAAGCCATTGAAGAGATTGACCGCCACCACAAACAACAACATCATCATCATACGAACTCACCTTCCCCCAAATTTCACCGTCATCATCACAACCAAGACACCATTGGGATCTTTCCACCAAAAAAGCTGCTGCTGCTCCAGGAGACCAAAGCTAACTAGTTGCTCGTCGAACAACGGGCCTGTGAGGCTTTGGCGCTGTACGCAAGAAAAGTAACACGTTAGTCACTCCTGCATAATGCACATGTCCCATGTTTAAACTCCATTCGATCTCTGCAGACTGCATATAGAATGCTGGGTAGAGAGATGTTACCACAAGTAGCACATCATCTCTTCACATAACAAAATGAACTGTTTTATGCGGCTTATTGCCCTCTTTCTACTTCTAGTTGAATTCGACTTCATCAAGTGCCATTACATTTTCACATTGTCCCTTCACATAATTAGATTACTCTGTTTTATACTCTGATACACACCAAAGGAAAGAGGGATACCATTAGGGTTTCCTTGCTCGTAGAAACTCCGGAAAAGAGCGACTGCTTCTGATGCCATTACTCCCCCGCTACATTTGAAACCTTTTCCTTCTTGTCTAACTTCCCCACTGTAAAATTTAAAGGGCACAAGTCCTAAGTGCAGTGAGAGAGACAAGAGTGTCCTAAATCATAACTGCAACAAACATTGCCTATTCATTTATAGCTAGGAAGAGGTAATGAAGAGATATACTGTGCAACAAGTAAATGAACCAACCTTGTAAGTGATTGCGGGTTGCCTGAATGCAACGACAATACTGATCCACACCCTCCAAATTTGTCATTGGCACATCCATAATATACTTCCTTCATACCTTGAGAGGGAAGAAGATGAGTCTTGTGTCTTAGATATCAAGCTAAGGAACAAAAAGAGTGGAAAGGAATGTCTTGGTGAGGGAGCATATAGGGTTACCAAGGATTGATAGAGCTGCAGCGCACATTATACAAGGTTCGCAAGTGACGTAAAGATTGCATTTTGAAAACTTCTCTGCAACTTCCAGCTTCGATAGTCCATTCTTTTGCCACTTCCCGAGAAGGAAGTCGATCGCTTCCATCTCTGCATGTCTCGTAGCCTGCCACATAAAGCAACATGCAACGTTTTGATAATTCGCAATAGCATAATTCATTCTAGACAAGGACAAACCAGAGATGAACTTACATTTCTAGTCTCTGATGTTCTGTTTCTTCCAGATGCAACAACTTTCCCATCTTCAATAATCACACAACTGTGCTTACCGAAGAAAAAGTTACATTTCATTTTTGTTTTTCCTGTAGGATTCCAATGTCAAATCAGCAGTAGCAGAATGCAGCTTACCCAACTGGCACTTCAAGTGAATCCAGTGCTTCTTTTGCCTGCAGTACAATGAAGATTATAAAATATAATGGAGTGGAAGATATTCAATTAAACAAAATTATCAAACTCATAACAACATAAAGAGATAAGGCATCATGTCATCATGGACCAAGGGCTGCAAGAGACAATGCGAAACTGGTATGTCAAATGAAGCAGAAAAGTACAAATAGAATTGAGGACTGTATATGTTCTTCAATCACTTGGAACAAGGTTACTTTCTTCGTTCTTCCTATAGACAACTTGGGTAGGGATAACAGAGTAAACCCTTCACTGTTTTCTCCAACTCTATTTAATAAGCTAACTAAACCAAGAATTACCTGATCCAGCGCAAGCTCCATGTAAGCGAGAGTTTCAGGTGAAATGCCTTGTCCAGAAGAAGAGCAGTCCATGTCTGGGTTTACAACTCGCCTGATACACAAAGAAATCACGAACAGATGGAGCGATGTGAAACGTTGAGCAAGTCAGGAAAAACGATTTAGCATTTAGCACCGACATTTTTTAAAACAGTTGGTGGGCGAGTGCAAGGACAGTAATCAGATGAGAGAGCGCAAAGAACCATGGAAATTCATATTAATCATAACTCGAACAAGTAATTTGCATACAGGAGTTCTCTTTCAAAAACACAAGGTTGTCTAGGTAAGAATATAAAGGGGAACACATACAGGAAGCAAGCTTAAAAGTGTAAGCATGGAGGAAAATAACAGGGGACAAGAGAATGCAGCAAAGGCTGCAGAAAAACCAGTAGAGAAATCATAACCACTTAAGCAGCATGCAGGGAAGCCCAGCAGTTCCCATAACAGAACTTCTGTATCTATGGCTCTAATAGTTCGGGTTGCTTGTAACTTCTTATTCAATTCAGACTCAAGTCTAGACAAGGTTAATGATGATGATGCCTTGGAATATGTGTGGAAGAAGTGGAAGCTGCTAGCAGCCTAAGGAAGTTTCTAATGGGAATGAGTTCCAATGGCTGAAAGTGATAATTAATGGCTTTTTTTTCCTCTCAAAGATGGTATGTTTCCAGTCATCGCTGTACAAAGTTAAGTAGCAGTTGAAAGTTGTCTGGCATTACATTAGGTGGCCAGCTAATTTATGGCTTAAATATGCAGTGTTGTGTTGGTGCTCTCATTCACGCATGTATGATGATTCTCTTGTTACTATTCTAGTACAGACTTAATCCCAGCTGCTATACATTTAGCTGATGAATCGATATATGGATTAGCTATTCGAGTGTTATTTCTTCTCTTCAGTTTTGACCCAAAACACAGTAGGTCACACTCACAGTGGATAGACCTTAACTCTTTGCATTCTTCATACCAAGTAATTAAGAAAATAGCATTACTTTAACTAGCCTCTACACTTCCTTCTCTTTTAACTCGCCCATCACTTGTGTTTACTTGAAATTAGAGTCAGTCATTGCTAGCTAGCTATAACTTCGTACTCTTCACACTCACCTCACTATAGCACCCAAATACTGCCAGCATGCTAGCTAGCTAGGAACTGTTAAACTGCAGATGTATCTTCCAAATTTCTCACGAGTTCTTGAAACACATTCATTCATACATACAAGGATTGCCGATAAAGAGAAAGTCAGGCCGAAATTCCAAATAAATGGACGAACTTGAAGATTTGGTAAGTAGAAGAACTCACTTCAGCGCATGCAAGTCTCTGTACGGGGTAAATTGCCCAACCTGTCTGAGTTGCAATTGGAAGGGGATTAGCAGCTTGTGGAAGCCGGCTGGAGTTCAACTAACTTCAATCCAAACGAGAGATCCTCCGCTTCTCGGTTTGGTGGTCGTCCCTGTACCGCGGCAGCAAGAGGGCGGGGCAAATTGCCGGGGGGTTTTCAGCACGAAACTTGGCGTTGGGGGAAGTTTTCCCGCGGCGCAGGGGATAATGAAGGAGGGGGTTGAAAATCGGGAAAGCCCGAAACGTGCCGGGTCGGGGTTGTCGGGTTGATCCGCAATGTTAATGATAGTGTTGGGCTGTTGGCGAAGTATAGATTGGGTGCGGAAAAGTTGGGCTTATAACTAATATTGACCTGGCCCAATTATTATTAGGCTTTCAGCTGACAACCTCACCAATCGGGCTCGGAATCCGGACCAAACTGCATAGAGAACCGTCTTTTAGAATGGATCATGCGATTTGATATAGCTCGTGGGACTCATTTCTCGTGGAGCTGCATACCAGAAAAATCCTTATTGACGGAATGACGGTCTCCTTTTTTAATGGGTGATCAAGAATGATTTGATTTAGCTTAAATGTACCCACTATCCACTAATACATAATGAGTTCTCATTTCCTCCTTTACGTCATTCATAAATTCATTCATCCACAAATCGCGAAACAAATAAATTTACTGGATACTTCAACTTATGTTGGAACTAAAAAGTAGTTTGAAAGTAATGATATAACTTATGAGGGGACTGTATGAAATTTTGATGAGTGCAGTTAGCATAGCATTAATTACACGAGTAAATATATGATCACTGATTAGGAAGGGAATTGATGAACATGTAGTAGGTACATAGAAACAAAATGTATCTTCTGCAATTGAGTGAGCTGTTGGTTCATTCAGGATTCTTGAGGATCCCAACTAACAATCATATTTAATTACTTGTTTTGTAACAATATTCCATGAATCGAGTTTTTTATTCTTAACAAAACAATATTCTATGAATATATGGTTATGGTGCATAATTAAATGTACCTAATCAAAGATAACTACGGACAGTAAAAAAGATAGAAGAAAGAGACTGCAATTAATCCTTTTTTCACCATAAAAATCGGACCCCAGAACGCGTCAGTTAAAATTGAGAGGTTGAGATTCTCTTATTTACCCTACAAATCAGTCTGGTTGGAATGAGTATCTGTGAGAGATCCACATTTACCGCTGAGCTGGGTTTTGCTTCTTTCTTTTACACAAAATAGATTTTCCACCATTCTCAGTTTTCACCAGGACTTATCCATAGCCAAATCCCCAGAATCAGGGCACGGTAAAAAAAAAAAAAGATAAAAAGGAGAAAGTAAATCTGCCACCATTTGATATCTCACTATCTCAAAAGGTAACTATATAAATTATCCTCCTTTACCTAACATCACAGTAAAAAAAAGTATATATATAATCCTATAGAGATCAGCACAAGCCTCTCGGCACATTGTAACTTTGCTGGGAGTGGAAGGAAGGGAATGTCAAAGAGGCAAAGCCTTGTGGTAAAACAATTTTTTTACTTGATCGTCGGCAGAAGGTCTCTCACTGCTATTTTGTAGCTAGAAAGTTACCACTCTCTACACGGTATCCTTTGTGCATATTATTACCTCGCCGTTAACCCTTGCCGGCCGGCGGTGAAAAGGAAGAAGAAGAAGAAGAATCGTAATCATGGACAGTCAGACTCAGGCAGAACCGAAACCCGAAGAGGTCCCCAGCAATGAAGTAAGCATTGTATCCTACATATATATATATATATATACACACGTAGGACGAAAGCTCAGGTGGGAGCAGGTTTATGATCGTGCGATGACGATGATAATGTTTTATGTTGACAGACGGAGGAGGAAAGGAAGAAGAAGATCGACGATTGGCTGCCCATCACCGGCTCCAGGAACGCCAAGTGGTGGTATGCTGCATTCCACAATGTCACCGCCATGGTTGGAGCAGGAGTTCTCAGTCTGCCGTATGCCATGTCGCACCTAGGATGGTACGTCTATAACAAGGTTTCTGAATGAAATCTTATCGTAGTAGTAGTACTCGAAATCCTTCGAATCTCTTGCGAGTTTGTTCACTCGGATCGATATTGATTGATTTTGCTATAATGTACGATTGTAGATTTACATGAATTGATGATTTTTGTACAATTTTAATTTGATGTTAATTTTCCTTTTTTGAACATAATTGAAGAAGTTCATAGTTTGTGTTTCAGTTTGATGGTCTAAGAGATCATCAATTTGTTTATCATTGTAGTAAGCCCTGTTTTCCGATTCTACGTTACAAACCAATATACAATGTCACCCCCAACATGTAATTGGAAATCCAAAATTTGGACCTTTTTTTCTTCTTTCTGGCAGGGGACCTGGAACAGTGATACTGGTGCTATCATGGGTGATCACTCTGTACACACTGTGGCAGATGGTGGAGATGCACGAGATGATCCCCGGGAAGCGACTCGATCGATACCACGAGCTCGGCCAGGCAGCCTTCGGCAAGAAGCTAGGTCTGTACATCGTCGTCCCACAGCAGCTCATATGCGAAGTGGGTGTAGATATAGTGTATATGGTGACAGGAGGAAAGTCGCTGCAGAAAATTTACAACCTGGCCTGCGGGGATTGCAAGAACATCAAGCTGACATACTTCATCATGATCTTTGCCTCCCCTCATTTTATCCTAGCTCACTGCCCCAACTTCAATTCCATCTCTGTAGTCTCACTTGCCGCGGCAGTAATGTCGTTGAGGTTCGTCAGTAAATTCTGTTTCTCGGATCCTTTCTGTGTCATTACTTCATTTCTTAGTTGAGTGACCTGAGGGGAGCTTCTTTCTTTCTTTGCACACAGCTACTCCACCATTGCCTGGGGAGCTGCTGCTGACAAGGGTCGTCAACCAGGAGTATCGTATGCCTCAGTAGCCTCAACTCCCACTGGAGGTGTCTTTAACTTCTTGGGTGCTCTTGGAGAGGTAGCTTTCGCCTATGCTGGCCATAATGTTGTGCTCGAGATCCAAGCAACGATCCCTTCCTCGCCCGAGAGGCCATCGAAAGTGCCTATGTGGAGAGGAGTCGTTGTAGCTTACATTGTGGTTGCACTCTGCTACTTCCCAGTCGCTCTAGTTGGGTACTACATATTTGGCAACAAAGTGGAGGACAACATCATGCTCTCCCTTGAGAAACCTGTTTGGCTCGTCATCGTCGCCAATGCTTTCGTTGTCATCCATGTCATTGGCAGCTACCAGGTACTGCTGATAGACAATCTCTTCCTCACATGGTGAAACAAAATATACTAATTTGAGTTTCACAATAGCTCTTCACCGTTCAATTACGATCCAACCGACCATCCACAACTCATTTTGGCTTCTCCCATTGTAGTTGTTTGCAATGCCTGTCTTCGACATGATGGAGAGTACCCTGGTGAAGAAGCTGAACTTCAAGCCATCCTTCAAGCTTCGATTTATTACTCGTACCGTCTACGTTGGTAAGTTAGTGAACATCTTTCACAGTCTCAAATCAGGGGCATTGATATTCGATTCTGGGGTTTCTGATGGTGAACTTACTTGCTTCACTTTTTTTCAGCACTCACAATGTTTATCGGCATCACCTTCCCTTTCTTTGGTGCGTTGCTTAGTTTCTTCGGAGGATTCGCTTTTGCACCAACGACATACTTCGTAAGCTTTCAACCTTCTTTCGAGACCTTGCTCACTCATATGTCGGATAATACCTGATCAACGTTCTATTTTGTTCTCTCTTGGCAGCTCCCCTGCATCATTTGGCTTGCCATCGTCAAGCCAAAAAAGTTCAGCCTTTCATGGTTCATCAACTGGGTAAAAATTTCAATCATGAGCATCCTTTCGTAATCTCAGTTTACCTAAGCATAGATTGTTAAGCAAAAACCATCAGCTGATTACCTGTTGTTCCTGTTTTGCTGGCTGCAGATTTGCATCATACTTGGGGTAATGCTGATGATTCTGGGGCCGATTGGAGGATTAAGAAACATCATCGTGCATGCCAAAGATTTCAAATTCTACAATTAGTGTGAGAAACAACAGTTGCAGTAGAGTGAAGGAAATGAAACTGACAATGATGAAAAAAGAAGCCGAAGGAAGGGCATTTCAAACTGTTGTTCATAGAGGCCTGTTATTCTATTTTAGGATGTCAATCAGATTTAAGATTTTATTTTGTCTCATTGCCAGAGTAGGAGGTTTGGAATACAGTACCAGTTTGTTTACCACTTCTGTTGATAACTTGGTATTCTTCTGCACTTCTATTTTCTATTGTGAACAGTATCTTCTTATGCAGTAGGTAAGTAATGTAGTTGGGATTCCATTTCTTCATCTGTTGATTTGTCATCCACTCATCCTCCAATTACGAATCAATATGCTCGAGCTCCAAAAGAAACTAAGCAGATAATACTCTTCTGATATTGTATTGACAGACTGCATTACACGAACTCGTAGCCAGCCGAAGCATACAGGGACGAATATACAGTTGGATGATACGAAGTACACTGTTCACCCCGACCTAAGCACAAATAGAAAACTTTAATGCTTCCCTAAGATATATACGGTGTAAGGACATCGCAATGGCATTCACTTTTTCTGTGAGTTGTGAAGATACGTCAGTTATGGCATCCAATATAGTAAAACATCATGCAACTTCTCAGAGAAAAGGGCCATGGATAATGCCATACTGGGTCACATCAACGATCTAGAAAGTGAAACTCCAGAAAAGATGGTCCACGTAATCTTCAGTTTGATAACGAAGGCAACATCATAAATCAAACAGTATCCAATCTGGCATCTTCATCTTATCAAGCCTGAGAGTTATCACAAGGAAATGGCCAACCCCAGCACAGTTTCTGATTCTTAAGGTTATAGAAACCAAGACAAATTCCTAGCACCGTCCTAGCTGACAATGAATCTTCCATTCTCATATACCTAGGGCAGATCAACGAACTGCACGAGGAATGAAGTTCTATGGTGTCTGGGCACAGCAATTTGAACAAAAGTGCAGACTTTCCGAAACTTAAAGAAACCATCACAACTAGCACCCTCATAGCTGGCAATGAATCCTCCATTCTAATATACCTAGGTCGCATGAACAATCTCCGGGAAGATGAAGGCAATTTGAACAAAAGTGCAGACTTTCCAAAGCTTAAACAAGCCATCACAAAATGACTAATGATGCCTCCATCTCATCCCAACTTAGCATGACAAAATGCAGCACAAGCTAGAAGCTACCTAAGAGAACTTCCCAACTCATTGCACAAGACGTTAAAGATAAAGAAAACAGACAAACCAAATGACAGAAGAAGACACTGAAAAACATGGGGCACATCAGAATTCCCACTTCACAAAACTGATAAAACCGAGTGAGGGAAAGGAATATCGCATCTTATATCACCATATCCAATTGAGAATGCACATGAAGAAAGCAGTGGAGAAGCTTCAATTTCAATCCCAAATGGTTACACACAATTGAGAAATTCTCTCTTCTACTTCCTACCCTTGACATTATATAATCCAAAAAACAAAGCAAAAGACTCCATTTTTACGTTTTTTCCCCAATCTATGTTCTTCTTCTTCTACCTGTCTTTCTTCTTCTCCAATCTACCATCCACCTTCCTTTCTCTGTACAATTCCACCCACAAGTTGATAATCCACAAGATGCTAACAGAGATGGCACCAATCACAACCACCATCCACGAAACCCAAATCCACCTGGGGACAACACCATCTGCCACCCCACTCCAATAAAACTCCCCCATCTTATACATAAACACCGGCCCCAGAACCCCACGGACGACGGAGTAGAACGCATAGAACGGCGGGGACAACAAACGATACACCCTCGCGGCGAGCTTGGAATCTCCCTTTCTCACCCCGGCCAGCGTCCACACGTTCTGGCAGAAGCTGGTGACCTCAGCGAGGACCAACAGGGTCAGTATCGCGAACGCGCCGTGGCCGACGAGGTACCGACACGTGAGAAACACAAATAGAGTAGCCAAATGGTGCCCGATGAAGAGGGCATCCCCAGGGGAGAAGAAGAAGACGTAGTGGAGCAGATCTACGAAGAAGTATGCAACGCTGAAATCAAGCACGGCGGATTGAAAGGGGGTGTTGGTGGCTGAGAACCCGCGATCGGAGTCGGAGTAAATTGCGAAGGAGGCAAGGAACACGGCCGGGGTGCCGTGAAACAAAGAGATCAGGCAGCTGGAAGCCTCGGAGCGAGCACCGGACGGCCAGTGGCGGAAGACCAAAGAGTAACCGAGGATGTAGATGACGAGAAAGGAGGCGAAAGCGACAGGTAGCGCCGCTGCAACGGCGGTGGGTGAGGAGGATGGCGGAATTAGGGTTTGGAGCAGCTGCATTGCTTCGCGGGTGGGGAAAAATTAGGGAAATTGATGAGTGGAGGGAAAATTGAAGGAAAGTGGCGTCATCATCGGTTGAGGATTATATATGAATCTGGTGGCTTAGAATATTTTTTTTGCTATTCTCGAGGAGAGGACTTGTCAATAATGTCAATGGCTTCTTCTTCTTTATTCCATTTCCTGCTAATAAAGCAACAATGGAGTAGGTTGGTTGGTCATTAATGGTTACTTACTAGTAACTAATCTCATTGCTAATTGTGGCTCCTCTTTTTCTAAGGATTGGTGAATATTGGTCCATCTACTATATACTTTGTACAAAGAAGTCCATATACTAAGAATTTTCAACATTTCGAGTTTTTGTGTTTTCTTCATGTAAGGTTTTTGTGTTGTATTCTTTATGTAAGGGAGATTTTAGTTTTATGAAACAAGGTTTCTGCTGTACAATCGACTGCGTTACTCATAACACTAGCAAACTTGGCGTGGATTGGAACTTCTAGGATTCTTTAGGATTCTGCAAACTTGGAATACAACAATCCAGCTCGATCCTCCTTTTGAACAGTAGCAAGAGACTCGTCGAGCATCCATTGCGAGTTTGAGACAGCAGCTATTGCATCGAGATCTTGTTACTCTCATCTCCCAATAGGTAATGGTAATCACAATCCCAACGGAAGAGAAAAAGGCTATTATCCGATCTTTCTGGTTACTGTTGACAAGTTTTACTTTTGCTTCAGTCAGTAATTAGTAATGACCTTGATTGAAGATAATAGCTGATTCTGCTGTTGCCGCATAAACAAAAAAAGAAAAAAGTCTTTCTATTGAACCAAACACTACGAAATTACTTTTTACATAGAAATTCACTCTCCGCCTAACTCTTACATCACAAAACCACCAAGTCATTCTCTCCGGTACACTGCAAGTCTCCAGTCCAACAGACTCAGCTCAACAATCCAAGGCAAAGGATGTATGCAAGTCATCTTCTTTCCTCCATCGCCGTACCGTCTCTTCTTCAGGCTGTGGATTTAACTTAAAGAGCAACAATGCTTCTCCAAAAGCTCAAGGCAAAACTGCATCATATATACATCCATGGAGAGCAACAGAACAGAACTATTCTTCTGCAACCATCCAAGCGAATCCTTTCTTCCACCTCTGAGGGGTAGCAGCAAGATTCACCCGCAGTGAAACTCGACTCTCACGGACAAGTTGACTGCTATACTTGGCTCACAGTTGCAGATCTCTCACAGCTGAAGCAGCTGCAAAGTGTCCAGCATTATCTTTTCTATTTCTCTTTTTTTTTTCATTTTTTTTTTCTGACATAGATATTCACTAAATTAGTCCATCCATTGAGGGCCTAATCTATTTCCCCCTCTTCTGGCTCCACATCATTCATTTCCTGTGGAACGCTCGAAGGCTCACCTTCTTCCTCCACTTCGTCGTCCTTCCTAAACAAGCCAAGCTGTTCCAGTGGATTGCTGTCCCCACCAAACTTGAAACTTTCCTGTGGAACGCTCAAAGGCTCGCCTTCTTCCTCCTCTTCGTCATCCTTCCTAAACAAGCCAAGTTGTTCCAAAGGATTGCTGTCCCCACCAAACTTGAAACCACCCAACCCATCCGGAGAGTTATCTGGGCTCACTTCGTCCACAGAGCTTGGTACCTGCTCGGCAGGAGCACTTCTAAGCATCTCTAGGTCTTCCAGGAACTTGGAGTTCTCGTTGATTTCAACAGTTCTCTCAACCTGCAGAAAACACAGCGCAGCGCCCTTCATTAGTACTCTCTGGAATGATCACGATGCTCTTGCAGAGATCTGGCACATCCTTACCTTGAGCAGCGCCTGACGTGCTGCTTCTCTTTCAACCTCCAACAGCCGTCTGGCCTCGGCTGCTGCAGCTGCCTCCGCTTGCTTCCGGGCATCTTCGGCAGCCTTTGCTTCAGCTTGTAGCCTCGCTTTCTCTGGAACGCCAACATTCCATATGTCATCCAAAAAATTATTAACCAACACTGTATACCCAATAGCTTTATTGACTACAGAAACAAATATCAAAGATCGAACGCAGGAACCTTTCTTTTTCTGCAACTCTAGTTTCTCCCTTTCCTTCTGCAGCTTGTCTGGATCCACCTTGTCAACCTGATACCAACAACATAGAGATGGAGACCATAAGCATGAGTAACAGCAACTTAACTACTTGATAAGAGTAGAATAAGCCAATACAGTGTTGTTACCTGTAAGAGGGTCTTCTCTTCCCTAGCTTTCAGTATCATGTCAGAGAAACGGTTTCTGATCATAGCCGCCCTATAATCCTTATGAGGGAACTCCTGACTCCCACTAGGAGCACTTTCTCCTGTGACAATTACGGGACTCATCAGTGCTATACAACCTGCAATATAACATCCAAGCTATCTCCCCTTCCACACCCTCAACCTTACCATCTTGATGACCATCCGAATAATCTGACCCAGGCTTTTCTTCAGAGTTCTCTTCCAGCTGATCCAACCCACTGTCAGATTCTGTTGAACAGGTTTCTATCAGAGAAAATTCCAACACGGGGCAATACCACCTCAACAAATCACAAAAGGATCCTTCCACAATTGACCATAGAAACAGATGAGACAGTAACTTCGTTACAAAAAGCTTCATTAAATAGTTAAATACCCATGGACCACCTGTTTCAAGAAACCTGCAAATGACCTAGACCTATTCGCATCCAACTAATTCCAAACGAAATTCTTGATTAGCCTGATCTAAATCAAGCTTCCAGGCACAAGAACCCATTCAATTATTCCAAACAGAGGACTCACGAGTTCTATCCAGGGGATGATCACCAATTTTCTTCTCATCAGTTTGACCTCCACGAACCATATCATCCAGAACCTAGTAAATACGAATCAAGTTCGTCAGGAATTAAAACCTAGTCAGACATCATATCGAAGTTCCGCAAAAGCCACCAAAGCTACGGTGCACACTCTGATATTTTCATTTAAACAAACCGACCATGAAGAAGTTCCAAATAGTTGCCAACCTTAGACACAGGTGATCGACTTGAAGGTTTCACGTGATCAGATTCAACTTCAGAAGAACCGCCAGAATCTGAGTATGAAGAGAGGGAGGGGAAATAAATTAGTCAGATATATAAAGAGCCTGATAAAATTACAAGAAGCGGAAACAACTCTCTCTGGTTGTATAATAGCTACACAGCGAAAACAGGCTACACACCAAAATAAAGAAGACCTTTACTACCTAATCTTGAAACAAGCTCAGCATAACACTCTTTCCAAGTGATAACAAATAAAATCATAATCCAGATCAAACAAACAAAAGAGCTGTATAACTTACCCCTAGAGCTCCCTGAACTCATAACTCTGTTGCTCTCGCAGCCTATATCACTCGCTATCTCCACAGGAGGATAGCTAGACACAGGAGGCTCATTCTCACCAATATCAACATCTTCATCTGCTAGGTCGTTACCTAATACATGAACACCACCATCAAGAAAGTTCATAGCAAAGTCCAATCAATAAGATAATAAGAATGGAAATATACCTCTTTGCTGTTGCAAGGATGAATTGCTTGGGCCTGAGACATTCAATAGCTAGAAAAAAGGAAGACAAATAAGATTATGCTATATCAACGACAACGGTACACTATTACAAGTTACAACAAAATAATCGATGTATAGAGTACCTCTATTTCGGAAGGCTCCACTCTAGCTTGCTTCTCTGTCTTCTCTTTAGAATGATTATCTAAGAGTTGCCTCAGAGCGATTAATGTGTCATCGCTGAGTTTATCAATGTCTATCTCTATTTCATCTAAACCAGCATCTTGTCCACCATTGCTGTGCTCTCTCAAGAAATCAATGATATGCATAGGCATTTCAGGCAACAATGACTCAAGCTCTGAGCCCAATTTGGTTATCTCATCCGTGGAAACTAACCGCTCCGCAGGTTCCACAATAGCTTCATGCTTAGATGGGCTTAGTTTTCTCTTCTTAATAGATTGCATTTGAGCAGCATCAAAATCATTGCGATGAACTGAATTTTCTGGCTGAGGTTTGGGCACCTTCTTCGGCAACTTTCTGTCAATGGATTTCCATCTCACTTCAAAAAACTTTTTAAGGCTCTCAGCCATGATATGAACATCGTTCCCCTTTGGATTGTACAGCATAGCATTGCTGAATGTCAGCCTGACATCTTCAGCGAATTCCAATGGGCTTGAGTACAAGCCTGACATAATTCTGCTCTTAATTGTTCCCAAGTCCATAGGATGCTTGACAATAGTGAAGTAATCAGGGATGTTCAACTTGACAACATCCACTGGAGTATTGAAGACAAAACCAAACTGATGAGACATCAAACGTTGCAACAAATTCTCACACTGTTTCACCAAGATTAAGTTTCCAGGATTTTGTGTTGCATGTGCTTTCACAGGCTGTGGCTTCAGCTTTCCCATGGAACTTCCCTTATTCCCCGCTCCAGAAGAAACAATTGAGGAATTCTTGGAATTTACTGCTACAGCCCCATTTGGTCTACTGGTACCATTCAGAACACGGTTAGATGAAGAGACATTTCCAACACCTCTCTCCACTACAATGTTCTTCTGGACATCCCGAACGAGTTCAAGCTCAGATCTCAATCTTCGGATCATATCTTTTCTTTCCAATGAAGACATTTGGGCAGGAGACAGGACTTGTGTAGGGACCCCAAAAGTATCCCTTTTACTGGAATTCAGATTCAAGAATTTCCTAACTGGAGCACTAGAATTTGCAGATGCAGTAATCTCCATATCAATTTGTCCAGAACTTGCTGATCTCTCAAAAGCACCAGCTGCCCCAAATGAGCTGCTGCGGTAGTAAGCACCACGGAAATTTTCACTTTTCCCCATCCTATCCACTCGACAACTGCCTTCTGCATGAATAAGTCATGTGTAATAAAGGGTATCCTCAGGTTCACTCAATTAACAGGTTCCATTTCATCAGACCAAAGTCGAAAAATACGTTCTTACAAGTAAA